TTGTGTTTGAAATACTTGTTGTATATCTATTAGATGTCATCCACACCAGTAGTTTAAAGTTACGGGAAAGTATTGACCCCTTTGGGGGCATCCCACCACCATTTCAGGTTGAGACTAGTGCATGCATCTTGTACCCGTTGCTCGGGTGATCTTGGAGAGGAGACGTGGTTCGTGCTTCTCCATTTTACTTTAAACAATAATAAATTTTTTCATATATATTTTTACTTAGAGCCTGCGTGCGCATGTTTGCCCCGTGTGGCATTTGGTTTTAAACTATACTTTCTGCTGCGTATTGAATTGCTTATTATGTTTGTTTATGGATGACTTATGTGTGAATGATATTCATGATGCCTTGTATAATTTGGACAAGCTTGACTGTAGTTGACTTATTGAGATTGTATGGTGGTTGTTAGCATGTCCGGTGAGGTCCGGGCATGATAACGCGTCGGGGAGGTGATAGACATGAGGCCCTCAGACATCAACAAGTTCACAGAGATCATACTACCCAACCCCACAATCAGGTCGTTCGGGATGTGGACAACCTCAGAAGGCGGCTTGGTGACCTGAGAAGAGTGTTGGACGGTGGGGCCAACCTCACCCATGATTTAAGGATTCTCGAACCATTTGTGCAAAGGGTGATGGATGCCCCTATGCCTTCGCCGTTATTGAACTTATGTTTATTTGAAAAGGTAGTTTTTTTGTTGGGTTTGCCAATGTTAATGTTTTACTTACTCATTTTTATTAATTTCTCCATTAGTACTTTTATTGTTTATTTTAATTTATTCAAGCGTCATCACAACTAATCATTTGAGAAAGCTTGCAACAACTCGAATTATCCGGTGGCCAAAATTGAAATTAACACTTCCCTTCGTCATTCCTCATAGATACGATACTCGGGGTAAATTGTTCCATCCGGAATTGTTACTCTATTTTACTACAACGCCGAGAAATCAGGGTTATCATGGATCATTCAACGAGCAAGATTGAATCTTCTCGGTCAATGAGAGATATTCAACAACTCAAAACTATAAATATAAAGGAATTGAAGTGTGGTGAATTAAGAGTGTGCAGCTAAGAACGGCATACATTCCTAAATGGCATATCTAGCAAATGAGCAAATGTTAATCTATCACTCGTCTTCTTAGCTCATCCCACTTCAATAAGCTCTTAGTTATAAATACTTACAGAAATATATGTAGAGCTTAGATTAGTTGGATGTTTAAATTTCTTTGTAAACTAAACAGGTTGTAACCCGTGGAGGGCTTTGTGATCAAATCCAGAGAGAGTATAAAAGAAGGACAAGAGTAGCTCTTAGCAAGAAAATGCTATTATTGAAAATGCTTGTAAAAGGCAGGACATGAGTAACTTTTGCAAGTCAATGCTTGTAGTGAAAACACTGTAGAATGTAGGACTGAGTAGTTTGGAGTTTTGTTTACTCCTCGTGAAAAACCTATTAATCTAGGGTACACTAGGCACTAAGTGTACTGGTTGGTAATAACTTAGTGGAAATCCATCAGCTCAAAGATGGTACTGGATGTAGGAGGATTACACCACCTCTGAACATTGATATATCATGTGTCCTCTTTACCTTCAGTACTCACACCATCATAAACCACACTCGTCCCTATCACTATCCAAACACATATCCAAATAGCTTTTATATTGATCAGCATGTTGCACTAATATAGATTTATTCTATATACCCAGTTTGCATAATACAAGTCTGGTTCATTCTCATCCCACACAAAGTTCCATGTTTCTTTATCGATAAATCTCATTCTTCAAAGTATTGATATATAGCTTAAAGTGTTTACAGATTGTAAACTCAATTACTATTTACCACACTCTAGAAGCAATCAGCGGACTAGCTTGTTGTTACACTGAATTGACTAGAAGCTTGCTGCTAAGTCACCAGCAACCTGTTGTTTAGCTATGTCTCCAGCAGCATGCTGCTACACCAAGTTACCAGTAGCCTGATGCTTATCATAAGGAGTCCTTATCCAGTTCAAGAATATTTTAATTGTTCTTTAAACCGTCTCTTTGCTAAACTTAAAGCGTCATAACATTTGTTATTATAAGTGTCACACTATAAGAAGTCAAGACTTCCGCTGTCAATTTCAAGATCTCCCAACATATCTTGCAAATCTCTCTACTAGAGGGGAGACTTTGAAAAAAGAAAAAAGATTTAAAAGTTTATCCCCCCAAACTTTTGCCTCAATAGGGACCATCGACTTGAATGGAATCAAAGGAAATATTTTAATTTGGCAGGAAATGCACTTAATTAGCGTGATGGATAGTCTACCCGGGGGTATGTATCCGAATTCCGAAAGGTCACTGCGGGGAGTAACTAGAGAGAAGTCAGAGCAAGTAAGAGAGAGAAAGTGTGCTGAATATATGAGTTGAAAGCGTATTCCGAATCTGGTTTACAAAGGGGAAATGGGGTGCTATTTATAGTAGTAATAAATGCGAGACGGGGACATGTGTCAAGCATCTAACGGTCGAGGGGTCACATCAACCGGGTGCCACTGGCATTCGCATGTGGCCGCATTTAATGCGGCGGTTGGATGTGACGTTGTACTTGGTACGGTGACCCAGACGCATGTGGAGAGGATATTCTTGTCGAGGAAGGCACCCTCGGCTGTAGGTGCTTAGCCGAGGGCTCGTCCTGTCGAAAGCCCCCTTAAGGCCGAGGGCTCCAGGTGCCGAGGGCTACTGATTTTCGCCGTTTTCTCCCAGTGTCTTCGTATACCTGAAAAAGCCGTTATGTGAGTATCTGGAGCCTTCGGCCCCTTGGCCGAAGGCACCCCCAGTGTGCATTGTTGGCTGCTTGGTACTCGGGGCGCTGTGATTTGGGCCTGTTGTGCTTCCTGGGCCTATTGGGCCTTGGTTAGAGCAGTAGGAGTCTATGGGCCGGGGGTCCCTGGGCCATATACTCCATCATAGCGGAAGATTAATACACATGGACAATTTCTTGGCACCAAAATCCTTCTTGAATGGGTTGAGAATGATTAAGAAGCTCGAGAAAATAGCTCTAGGGAATTAGCTCTAGGGTTCCAACAATGAGAAAAATCATAAATAAGGGTGTATTTATACAAACATGCCAATATTTGGACGTTTAAGGTGAAAAATATATGCGCACAGTTGTAAACATGCTATGTTTAAACCCTGATATGAAACTCGGTCATGCACACGTCATGTGCATTAGGCAGAGAGTCCATTGCTACACACGATCATGAACACGCCGTGTGGGGCTTTTTTTACCCGGAAGGCGAACCACCCATCGGTGAGGCAAATGACGAGGAACATTTGCTGAGTGGGCCTTCGTGTGCAGCCAACTGGTTCCTCAAACTTTGAATTTTGCTTCGATTTTGCAACTTTTGGGACCCACTTTCTCTTTTTAGTTCTAATTTATAAGCTCTTTATATGTATTTCATCTTCTCATCACTTATATTATGAATGTGATGTTTTTATCTTCTTTAGTGTAAAATGCACATAATTAATTTAATATTTCATATTTATATTTCAGCACAAAGAAGTTAGTACTTGTATCTATATTATAATCTCATAATTAGATAGAATAGTGAACTTGTACACCCATCTTCATTTGTAAAAGAAAAGAAAATTTTCGAAGTTGGCAAAGTTTGAATTTAATTTTTGAATATTTCCTTTTTGTTATCAATGTGCATGTCTAATTAGATTATAAATTGCTGAATTTGTTAATAAATTGTTGTAGCTAATTTACTTCAAAACATTAATTGAATTAAGTAGTATGGATTGGCTTGGATTGAAAAAAAATAGGGAGTGAAAATTTTGGTCATTTTGTTAGTTAAATTTTGTTAGTTAAATTTTGGAATATTGTTTCAAATTAGTCTATGAGATTAAAAAATAATTTAAGTCGGTAACATTGAGCACATTAATAATATGAAGTCTAGAGAAAGAATGAATTAATGGCAAATTTTAATTCAAGACTTGGGAAATTATCTCTAACTTGTATTTAAGTGAACCATTTTAAGCACATTGATGAGTACATGTATTGAGGTAAATTAATGGAGTTAATTCAGTTCTTGTCTTTGAGGAGAAAAAAAAAATCAGTCCAACTTTTAGTTAAAATAATCTTAATTATTAGGTGCAAGAATACACTCATGTTTGATTATTCAATGTATTGCTTGTATTAGTTCACATTATTTAAAGATTAGTTTTAATCATCTCTGCCAGTTAATTTTATCAGTCTTAATTGTAGTTTAATTCTCTCGTGAAATTTAGTTATTAAACTTCAGTTTACTCACATATTCATCTCATCATTTTCATTTACCCCAGTGCCGCAAAGGTTCCCACCTACGGTGGGGTTACTCACATATTCATCTATGAAATTTAAATTTTATTTATTTTTCCGTCATTACTATTTGCATGATTTTATTTAGTAGGAAAAATTGAAAATAATAACCCCAACTATTGCCGGTCCGCTAACAATAATCCCAAATATTGATTATTTTTATATAATCCCAACTATATGGACCGTCCATCAATAATGGTCCATGACCAAATATTACCTTCTATAAAAGTGAATTTTAAATAGAAATTAAGCTTAAAAATTAAAAGTTAGGGATAATTTATAAGGATTACTTGCTATATCTCTTCTCATCCACTTTAGAAAGTACATAAACTTATTTACAGGGACTATTATTGGCAGAAGGTCCCTAAAATTGGGATTATTCTTAAATAATCGATAGTTGGGATTATTATAAGCGTATCACCAATAGTTGGGATTATTATAATCAATTTTTCCTATTTAGTATTCTTTTATTACAGATATAAGTTTGGTAATCAAAAACAATCTTTTAATTGAAAAAACTTTCAATAATTTGTAACAATCTGTTACTGAAATGGATAATTTTTATTGGCTATGTATCGACGGGTATCTAATATGGAACCAAAAAAGTGAGCCATGCTTAGCTTTAGTAAATAAAAGAATATAACAAGAAAGGAATCATTATCAGATTGGCCACTAAATTAAGCCATAAGCAATTGAGTCAAACCAAACAAAGAGTTTGAATTAAATAAATTAACTGGTTCAATCAAAATTCATAAAGCCACTTGCCGCACTTGGATTGAGTTAAGTGGACTACGTGTGGAGCACTTGGATTAAGCTACACTAAAAGATTGAAAAATAATCCAATGAGATGTATTATGTATCACACAATCCACACATCAGAGGAACAACATTGGACAATGTAACAAACAGGCATATAATCAACAAAACAGTGATTCCAAATCCGACCACTCATATAAAACGGTGTGCCAAGTGCCAAAGCTGGGAGCCTGGGACACAATGGAGGGTCTGAGAAGTGCATAATCGAAGCCACTGTTTGGAAGAGGGTGGACTCGAACCTTGGACCTCAAGGACACAAGGCAGAGACTAGTTGTGTCAGGCTCGCACTTCGGTCTCAACTTGTACCACCAAAGCATTTCCCGTAGAATTGGAACCTAAATTTAAAAATAGCACATTCTTACAAGAACCAAAATGTGGTTTCCCCAATCTGCGGCATGTAAATTCAACGTGGTTTTTCTCTGGGCATAATTTATGTAGCAAGACTAGTGTACAGTAAAATAATCTCTTCCGTGATACTGAAATAATGTTTACTATAGAATTCTAAGATGTGAGAAATCATTCAGTCTCTTTATCTGCCATCCCCTTTTCCATGAATGTTGTAACACGGTTACAGAAGAATCTTCTATACAGATCTTACTTGACATTACTGCATTGCACCCAAGAATCCCAGTAAGAGCACACTTGATCGGGGTCGCATGGGTGAAGATGCCCACACAGGATGAAACAGAAAGGGCACTTTTGGTATTTATGTCACGAATCGAAATGGGGTTGACTTGTACACGAGGGGACATCTCATCATCAGCCTGATCCCCAGTTGAAGCAACAACAATCTGGAGCCTACTTTTGACAGTTTTCTTTTTAACAGGTCCTTGTCGGTGCCTGTGGAGCAAATCCAACTGGGGAACAGAACTTGTGAGAGAAAGAGGGACGTTATTGGATGAATCCTGGCCATTGATCTGATCCGGCGGGGAGAAATCAGATCTGAACTTTTCAGGCAATGCCACCGCAGTCTCGTTGAGGAACTGTACCATCCTATATTCTACCTGCCTTAATGATTCTCCTGATGGTGGGGAAAAATCAGGTTGGAACCTTTCCATTAAGCTCATTGTTTCAGGTGTAAATATTTCAGATCGGTGGCATCCTTCCCAGTGTCCATGACTCATTTCTGTAAGTGCATCTGATGATTGTATCTCTTCCTCTGAAAATTTCAGTTCCTGCATAATTAGAAAGGCATGGTCTCTTCAATATGTCTCTTTAATATGTGCAAAGGCTTGTTGTGTATATTAACAAACCAAGCTGTTGTGACTTTGAGTGCAACATTGGTAGTAAAGATATAATAGGGTCAAGCCTTTGTGGAAAGAATAATCAGCTCAAAATCCTAACCATACCTAGGCGCTTTAAGTGTGCACCTTTGTGCTTCGTGCACTTCATGTGCTTTTATGTGCCTGATAGGCTGACACAGCTTAGCTGCTTTGGGGGGGGGGGGGGGGGGGGGGGGGGGCTTGAAGCACAAAGCCTTACAAAGGCCTCTTCTAGTGCACATAATTAAGTTTATGATAAGAGCGTTAATAACCCAGATACCCACTGTCAAATGATAATGATCAATTACCAACATGATTACCAATATATAAGTGACTTGAAGTATTTTTTTGTTTCCATGATTTCCAATGGAGCCAAAGACTCGATATCTTTGGCTTGGGAATATAAAGGAATAAAGCAAAATGTCTCACTAAACTGACTGCGCTTTTCTGTTGTGAAGCAACGGTCAGCCCAAACAATTTTCAACGCGCTTTTCATCATGGGTTATCTGAGTTCTGGAAACAGTCTCTTTGTGCTTTAGTACAAGGGTAAAGTTGCGCACAATTAAAAAATCGGATCGAGAAGCGACCCGGCCACATTATCGGGTCACGGGTCAACCCGAACACGGTGGGTCAACCCGGTCAATGCCAGAAACCTGGTCAGCAATCACACGACCATATAAAAATAATAAACATATAATTATATATAAAATTATAATTATAAAACAAGTAGTTATTCATAATAATCAACTAATGATAATACTTAACAAGCATTTAAAACACTCTCAAAGTCTCATAATATTCCAAAATGCAAATTTGATCCTATTAAAATATATATTGATATTTGTTATTTATATTGTACATTTATAATATAGTATGAATGACATGATTCTCATTCTTAAATAAATATATAAATATATTAGATATTTTTTCTTTTTAGGGTATTGCAATTGCAATTGTAAGGGTTAAATTCTTTAAAATGAAAAAACAATGTTAACTTTTTTAAAAAAATCAAAATTGGGTTTTTCCGGGTTTCCCGGGTTTTTTTGGGTCTGGGTCCGGACTGGTTTTTTCCAAGTCAACCGGGTTTTTCCCGTTTTTAGCCATTTTCGGGTTTTTAACTAACCGGACCAGGTTTTGGTCTGAGTCGCTTGGTTTCGGGTTGACCCGGCTGGTATGGGTCATTTTTTAAATATAGGCGTAGATCCGGGGGCCCTTACCCCACCGTAGGTAGGAGCCTTTGCGACACTGGGGTAATGTTGTAGTTGTAGTTTTTAACTGTAAATCGCCAAATTGTATTAATCCAAACAATCACTTGCCAACTTGAACTGGCTCAAAATACACAGGTGGATTAACAAAACACTCCCTACCATCCGACTTATGCAATGCGGCTCTCGCAATGGAATGAGCAAAACGATTGGCGGATCTTTTGCAAAGTTTAACTAAAATACAAGAATCATTGTAAAGAAGATGATGAATATCCTCTATGATATCATCATATTCAAAAAACCTTCCTCCTCGAAAGTTCTTGTCACCATCACTAACGAGTCTATCTCCATCTCAACTCGTTGCCAAGCTTGTTCCTTGGCCCATCCTATAACTTCCTGAACCCCTATTGCCTCCGTTATATTAGCAGACCATCCGGTTGTACACCTCACACTTCTGCTTCTAATAGACTGCCCATTTGCATCCCTCACTGCCCAACCCCAAGCACATTTTCCCTGGTGGCTTTGGTGCACATCTAAAGCAGCGTCTACATTTATTTTCACCACTCCATCAGCTAGTCAGACCCATTTAGTCTCCCCAGCTTCGCTACGCTTTCTTCTCGCACCATCCTCTTGAGCATCTTGCCAACCGCATAACATAGAAGCTCCTGCACTCACAACTTGCTTAAAGACTTAAACAATCTTGAGCATACATGAGTTCCTCCACACCACATCATTTCTGGATTTGCATATGCTCTAGAGACTTGTTATAAACACACAAAGGTCTTCCTCTCTTAAAGACTTAAATAAAGCAACGAAACAATGAAACAAGGAGGACTAGGATATAGATCAATACGAGATTCTAATGTGGCGATGCTGGAAAACAAGCTTGACGTCTTATTACCTATTTCTTCGTTCCCTTGGGAATATGATGAAATAAAGCAAAATGGTTCACTAAGCTTTCTGCGTTTATTTGTTATGAAGCAGCAATCAGTCCGTGCAATTTTCGACACGATTTTCATCATGGGTCATCCGGAAATAGCCTCTCTATACTCTAGTACAGGGGTAAGACTATGTACATCCGACCCCCTTTACCCTACTGTAAGTGCCTTCGCAGCACTGGGGTAATGTTGTTGTTATTGTTGTTTGTTCTCTTTCTATTTTCTGGCTATGTCCCAAAATACGAAAAAGAAAAGAACCAAAGGAAAAGGGGGGATTTTGATAGGGACCCGGATATTTCAAGTAGTGAGAAGGGAACACATGGAAGTCATGGAACACTGTCAAAGCCTCAAAATTAGATGGACGGAGGCAAGTGGATAACAAACCAAAATAAGCCCCACATATCTACAAAAAATGGAGCTTAAGCTAAAACAAGGGATGGTACAGAGCAAAATTCAACTGGGCCAAATTCAACCGTAAAGGAAGGTCAAAGGTTGACTCAAGCAGAGTTACAAGATAGGAGCAAGAAGGGACTATGCTTTAAGTGTGGAGACAAATGGAACAGAGATCATGAATGTCAAATGAAACACTATCAATTGGTTTTAATGAAACACTATTAGAAGAAGAGGAAGAAGACGAGAAACTGTCCCAAGAGATCGCTGAATCAGCCATAGGATCAAGGAGAATGCAACTCTCCTCAATGAGAAAGAGGGGAATCGGGTAGCCAATTGAAGGAGCAGTTTCCCTACTTCCACCTTGAGGTCAAGGTGGTTGTCAAAGGGGGAAGTGATGATAGGTACCTGGTTATTTCTAGTAATGGGGATAATAGATATTTTAGTTGAGTAGTCAAAGAGATAAAAATAATGGAGGGAATATATAACAAAAGAGCTGAGTTGGCAGACTGAGGCTTGGGTACGAATAAAAACAGGAGGAAGAGAAGTAGAAAAAAGGCTGTGATTTGGTTAGATCTAGGCTGGAAGAGAGAGACCTCTCGAAGAGTCTTAACTCTGTTTATTCTTCTTCTATTTTCTGGTTTGCTGCTTCTGCATTACTGTTTATTGTTGGAGTACCTATCAGATTTTGGGTACTGCTTTGCGTTTTAGAAGTTTGGTATTTTCACCCGTTAGTTATGTTAGAATATACATATTTAATAGTCAATATATTCTATGTACATATATTTATGGTAGTTAATATATTTTGTTAATATATACTATGTGATAAACTAAATATTTTATGTAAATCTGGCAGATTTAGTTTCCTTTTTGTATTCTCTGGTTTGTATGTAATTATACCGGCTACACCCAATGAATAAGAAACTGTAATTTTATTGCATCTTTAATCTCTATTACTCAGTTTGCATGGTATCAAAGAGACACACGTTTTTCGGGAAGTATTTCCTGAAGTTCGATTCTGCTCTCCCTGTGGTTTGATTCAGCTTTCGTTTGTGCGGCACAGGACGTTATTCGCACGGCGCAGGCATGGTAATCTGGATCGTGCAACTCAGTCACAGGTTTGATTTCCTGCCAACCAGTCTCATGTTACTTTAGCCAATGGATCGACCACATCTGTCAATGGCCTTGAAACAGCAACTCTTTCTCCCAACCTTTCTCTATCTTATGTTTTATATTTATCTCAATTTCCGTTTAATTTTATCTCAGCCGGTCAGATTACCAAAGCCCTCAATTGTTGTGTTATTTTCTTTCCCACCCATTTTCTTTTTCAGGATCTTGTGACGAAGCAAATTATTGGTAAAGGCAGATTGGTTAATGGCTTATATATTTTTGAATCCTTGCTGCCTAGGTCATTTGCATGCACCAGTTCGTCTTTGTTCAAAGTTCATTGTCAATTTGGTCATCCATCTCATTCTGCACTACAAAAAATGTGTCTTAGTCTGTTTTGGAGTGTGAAGCATGTCAGTTTGCTAAGCATCACAGAACAATTTTCCCTCCTCGAATAAATAAAAATGTTGAGACTAGTTTTGATTTAGTTCACATTGATGTGTGGGTCCTTGTTCTGTCGTTTCCAAACTTGGTTATCCTTATTTTATCACATTTGTGGATGATTTTTCTTGAGTTACTTGGTTATATCCTTTGAAATCCCATTCAGATGTGTTTACTGCATTTTGTACCTTTCAGGCTCAAATTCAAACTCAGTTTAATAAGAATATACGCATTCTCAGAAGTGTTAATGCTAAGGACTATTTATCTAGCACTTTTCAGACTTACCTATCTCGCCATAGGATTTTACAACCACACTTCTTGTCCCTATACACCCCAACAAAATGGTGTAGCTGAACCAAAGAATCATCACCTACTAGAAGTAGCTCGAGCCTTAATATTTCACGCAGGGTTCCTAAACCATTTTGGGTAGACGTTGTATACATTGCCTGCTACCTTATCATACGTATGTTTTCTTTTGTTCTTAATGGTCAGATCTCGTATTCCGATTTAGTTCCCTCAAGTCGTTGTTCTCGCGTGTGCTTGGTTGCACATGTTTTGTCCAGGATTTGCATTCTCAGGTTTCAAAACTTGATCCTAAATGAATCAAGTGTGTTTTTTTAGGTTGTTCCTGATTCAAAAAGGATATCGGCATTATTCTCCTTCATTGGGACGGTAATCGTATCTTATCTCCGCGGATGTCACCTTTTTTGAAGAAACACTTTTCTTTCAGACTAGTTTATCTTCATCCCCTCCTCGAGAACTCAGTTTTCTTCTCTACCTCTAGTTCTGGATGCATTCTATTGGTTGTGTATGTTGATGATACACAGGCCGTGATATGAGTCATATTTTGAAATCGAAAGCTTTCCTTGCTACTTGCTTCGAGACCAAAGATCTTGGGCCCTTTTGATAGGCCTACAGCTCAGCAACCTATTAAATATTTCAATAAGGTCTATCATAAGAGGAACGGAAGAGTAGTTAGTTAATTAGCTAACTAGTTGGTTACACTCTTTTTATCCCTGCGTGGATAACATACTATAAATAGAAGAATAATAGCTGGCAGGGGTAAGCTGTTATTTCTATTGAGATTGTACTTAGAGATTGGGCATCTCGAATGGTCCTTGAGCATTGTATCATGTGTGATCTGTTCTACCTATTGAATAAAGCTTTCAATCTGTTCTTCTACCATTCCTATTGAATTCTATACTGTTCTATGAATCAAATACCAGTATTCTATCACCTTTGAAGTACTTCTTAGGAATAGAAGTCTCACGTAGTAACAAGGGAACTTACTTGTCTCAAAGGAAATATTGTCTAGATGTGTTAAATGATGCAGGGTTGGTTGAGGCAAAACCGTGTGGTGCTCTAATGATCCAAATGTAAAGTTTACAGCTGATGAAGGTGATGAAGGTGACTTGCTCGAAAATCTTGAGGCATACCGAAGGATTGTTGGGAAACTGAATTATTTGACTATCACCCGACCTGATATTGTTTTCCCAGTCAGTGTGGTAACTGGTAAGTAATTTTTTGTCCACTCCACGAACATAACACTGAGATGCAGTTACTTATATCCTAAGATACTTGAAGAGGGCTCCACGATGTGGGCTTCATGTTATTGAAAGGTTTACTGATGCAGACTACGATGGAAATCCTAATGACCAGCATTCCACCATTGGTTATTGTGTGTTTGTTGGAGGTAACCTTGTATCCTGGGAGAGTAAGAAGCAAAATGTTGTCTCTAGATCAAGTGCAGAATCTGAATATCGAGCTATAGCACAAACCACATGTGAGCTGGTTTGGCTTCAGCATTTGCTTGATGAACTTAGATTTGCTCAAACAGAACCAATGAAATTATGGTGTGATAATCAAGCAATTATCCATATTGCAAATAATCCTATTTTTCATGAAAGAACAAAACATATCAAAGTTAACGGTCACTTTACTCGAGAAAAGGTAGACATTGGTACAATTTGCACTCCACACATCAAAACAGAAAATCAACTGGCAGATGCGTTCACAAAGGCTCTACCGGGGACACGTATGATAGGAACCTAGTAATAATCTGAACACAAACAGTAACAAGCAACACAGATCTAATATGAAAGTAGAGAAATTGCAGTTTATTGATAGGGTAATCCGTAGGAAACTCCGGGACAGGGACAGGGACTTCTTAGGCAACAGGGACTTAGGCAACAAGGCAACAATTCTCCAAATAACCGTCCCCTATTATGGCTACCCCAGCTTCTATTTATAGCAAAAGTCCACGCAGGGACTAAATAGACAACTAAATAAGCTATAGGCACTTTAAAAGCTATTTAACTCCCCTAACCCCCTTATTTAAAACTACTGATTAGACTGATGCCTAACATTACTCCCCCCCTAAACAACCACCTTGCCCTCAAGGTGGGTGATAGGAGCCAGCCATGATCTTCCGCTTGCACTTCATTCTTGCACCTCTCCCTTCCCAATACCTCCCGGATTTTTGGATATTTAGCTCACGTACTTGAAATTGCATCTTCCTTTCCATCATTTGCAATGGAGCCAAAGATTCATTATTTTTTGGCTTGAGATTATGATGGAATAAAGCAAAATGGCTCACTAAACTGTCTGCGCTTCTTTGTTATGGAGCAGCAGTCAGTCCATGCAATTTTGGACGCGATTTTCACCATGGGTCATTCGGAAACAGTCTCTCTGTGCTTTAGTACAGGGGTAAGACTGCGTACATCCGACCCCCCCTTACCCCACCGTAGGTGGAAGCCTTTGCGGCACTGGGGTAAATGAAAATGAAAATGATGACTTGAAATTGCATCTTCCTGTTCTTCACTGCAAGGAGCAGAAACAATATCTTGGTGCCAGAATGCTCCCTGTTGCTGCAAAAGTGAGAATCTCGCTGCTGCATCATAGGCAAAATATAGGTGTAAACTACTTGCTGAACAGTTCCAACAAGAGTGTGCAGTCCATCCAGCCACTTTTCATCAACTTTGACATTACTAACACTTTCTGGCTTTAAGGATAAATCCATAAGATGCTCTCTGGTGTAGACCTCAAAAACAACAGCCTGAGTAATAGAATCCAGGCCCTCACTGACTTTATTCAACTGGTATGCAAGATTAAACTCCTCAGCCCCTCTCAGTTTAGAGTTAGAGGAATCCCGAATTGAAGAAAGTATCAAACTGTCGCCCTTAACTACCATTTCATTGGAGTAAGTGAGGATTGATCCTTCAATTTCCCCAATCAGTAGATCATTCTTCCCCACTTGCTTTGCTAAAGATCCCAATTCCCAATTCTTTTCTCTTTTCCTGATTATATGAACCCATGGATCATCAATTGCCATAAAAAAACTAAGGTCCAAACCTGCACCTTCCCTTTGAACTAGTATACAATCTATCAGCATTCTCCTTACATTCTCACCCATGATCAAAGCCGCCTGGGGAATAGCTGAATTGAATTCATTATCAATCACCAGGAAGATGTCAACGAGTCCATCAGTAATATAACCAACCTTCTCATTCCAAATTCCAGTAATTCTTACCCCCACACCTCTTTGGACATACTTCACAGAAATTTCATCCTCAAATCTGTAGCCATCAAACTTATGCAGCCCTTCCATAACTTCACTTGCTATTACCAACCTTGAGACCTCATTCTCGCTGGCATTGCTGTTTGCAAAGGCTCTCCATTATTAACAAATGACTCAAGCATATCACCTTTACCAACCAATAGTTTTACAAGTAAGCCGCGGTTTGACCTTTTCCACAATCCTTCAGTATTGGCCACTATCAAGGTAGAAACTGAAGAAGAAAGTTTAGCAGCGTAGGTTTTCCACAGGTGTCCACCATCGATATACTCATATCCATCTCCATCATCTTCAGAGAGAGAACCTTCAATTATACCTAGTTTCTCCAGAAAAGAATTGTCAGCTTTGGTAGCCCTCGGAGCATCCTCTATTTTCTGGAATGCCTCATACCTTCCATTTACTGCCGATGAAACCCGATGCAAACTCTTATGTAAATTCTGCCAATGGACTTCACCTGAGGCATCCTTTGCACAAGGGACATAGAAGTTGACCGCATTCTTTTGTTCTTGTCCATGAGCTCCTTCTTCAGCTTGTAACATGTGTGCAGGTTCCCTTGTTAGTCCTGAGCCACAGGATTTCTTCAAAATAGTAAGATGCCCGACTAACCTCCTCTTTGGTGCCACCTGATAACTGGAGTTTGATTCAGAGATCGGATATAATCCACAATACTTAGTAGCATCAGTATCTGAGCGGATCATTCCCTGAAGCTGCTTTCCATCATTACCCTCTTCTATTTCCTCAGTTTCCTCCTTGTTCATACCCATCTCTTCTTTCCTGGCCTTCTTAGATGCTGTAGTAGATATTAAGTTGGACTGCCAAGGTATAGCAATTCCTTCAGGGACTGCATTTATCAGCTCAGCACCTTTATAGATTTCAGGAACCACTTGGTTCTCCAATTCAGAACTATTTGGGCCAGCAATCTTGTGATCAGAAGATTTATATTCCATGACTGTCCAGGACTGAGTCACCCCAGAAGATTTCTCCTCTGGTCTTTCCTCATCCTCAATAGATTTGAGTAGGAAGTATTCTTCCATCTTAACTATCCATTTGTCTACATTATCTCCATTAAACCAGGGCAATTCAATCTTACTTCCCGAGCCAATATCTCTTCTACTGCTATCCTGACCCATACTAGAGTGAGAGTGATCGTATTTACCTTCCGACGCAGCTAGACGCTCAGATTCCTTTGTTCGTTGATGTTGTGAGTTGGCCCGTTGTGAAGCTGATTGCAAGGGAGATGAAGATCTGCGAGTAGAATCAGTTTGCAATGAGCTGGGAGATGACGTTGTTGGTGACGGCGAACTGTGTGAAGCTAGAGATGAAGTTTGCGAACGGGAAGATGAAGTTCGCGATTGTAAACTGGAATGATAGGTGAGCGTCGATCTCTGCGACTGCGAACTGAGGGAGGAAGTTCGCAACTGACCCTGCGCATTTCGCGATGCACTGGAAGACTTCGTTCGCACCTGCGAACTGTTAGAAGCCGGACGATGCGATGATCGTGATCTTCCCCTTTGTTCCTTCTTCGCGGCTGTAGATGCTGAAATCGCTGCCATAGAATCCGCGATGCACTTCTGCATCTGTGCGGTCATGGAAGCTGCGAGGTTTGCCATAGCCGTCTTCATCTCCAGTTCGAACTTATCCAAGCGAGCCTCCATTTCTGGTGTCCAATCTTCTTCCATCCCTCCAGATAGTTGATGCTGTTGATCGATCGATTAGGATGCCAGGAAGGAGTGCTCTGATACCATTGATAGGAACCTGGTAATAATCTGAGCACAAACAGTAACAAGCAACACAGATCTAATCTGAAAGTAGAGAAACTGCAGTTTATTGATAGGGCAATCCGTAGGAAACTCCGGGACAGGGACAGGGACTTCTTAGGCAACAGGGACTTAGGCAACAATTCTCCAAATAACCGTCCCCTATTATGGCTACCCCAGCTTCTATTTATAGCAAAAGTCCACGCAGAGACTAAATAGACAACTAAATAAGCTATAGGCACTTTAAAAGCTATTTAACTCCCCTAACCCCTTTATTTAAAACTACTGATTAGACTGATGCCTAACAACGTATCAATTCCATCTGTACCAAGCTGGGCATGATTAATAATTATGTTCCAGTTTGAGGGGGAGTGTTAGAATATACATATTTAATAGTCAATATATTAAAAGGCAACCTATGGAACTTGTAAAATATATTTTCTTTCCTAAACGCTCCCAAGAAAATCTAAAACAAAAAAATCTGAAAAGAAAAATAATGAGTTGTTAATCATTGGGTGTCTACATCTCTAAATATGTCATATGTTTTGGCCGTTGAATTGATTGTGAACGATGCTATGAAGGTCTACAAGTTGTTAGAACTCTGCAAATTCTAAAGCTAATTCACAGAAATCAACAAGAAGTCAAGAACGTAACTGCAAACTTTTATTAACAAAGCTACAATGGCCGAAACCCCCAAATGAGCCGAAACCCCCCAAAAGAGAGAATGATCTCAATCATCCCAGAAAAGACTAAACAGTCAATACAGCCTATCCACAATATTCAGCTTACTACTATTTATAGTAAGTATGTAACTCCTACTAACCGGAAACAATTATTAGCTAACAACAACTTTAACTAATAACTAACTCTACTTCCTTCTAGAATATACTTTGCCAAAGTATTTATTTTCTCTCCTCGGTTTAGTAGAGTCTCTAACAATACTCCCTCCCTAAACATCCACCTTGCGCTCAAGGTGGGTGGTAGGAGACAGTCGAGATCTTGTGTTTCCTCTTCATCCTTGCGCCTCTTCCTTCCCAATACATAACTAGTTGCAAGAGCATGAACTTCATTGCCTGAAGAACGCACTGATGATTTGGATCTCTGTAATTGTTTTGTTCCTCATAACCAGATGGTGCTGTTTGACCTTTCCCTTCAATATCCTTCTCTGGATGTATTGGCTGCGAATTGATCACACTGCCAGTACTGATATTCATGAAAATATTGTGTCCATGCCTGGTTAAACACAGAGCAAATTCTTCCCTAAATTCATATGAGGTTCCATCTTCCGGGTTCACAGTATTTTGATGAACATCCAAAGATGCCTCGCAGCTTACAAATCCCACAACCAGTTTGGCATTGACAAGCAAAAAGAGAGCTGCACATTGATACCCAGCACCACTTGGGAAAAGAAAAACTTCAATGTTGGGTCCCTTGATTAACTGTAATAGTGAATTTGGCCAGATTCTTTACCATTAGCAGCACTCAAAGAATTAGTGATGGAGTCTATTTTCATTAGATCTTCCACAATATAAACATAATGGATTCTTGATGCGTGTGTAAACAGTTTTCCAATCGGCCCATTAGAGAAGAACTTCTGAAACCTCTTTGTTTCCCTGACTGGGTTTGCATCCAACTTTATTAACCCAAGTGAGGAGAAAGAAGCCATAACTACTCTTCCCAGCAAATCTGGTTCCACTTCTATATTTCCAACATCTTCACCTATCTTGGTTTCCATTAAACGAACACTAGTGGAACATTTCACTTCTGAATCATTGGAACCTAAGACCATTTTGTAAGGTTGGAAATTTGCTTCAACTTCCACTCCATTAACAGTAGCCTGAATAGTAGGATCCAGGACCACACTGATTTTATAAAATTGGTATTCAAGAGTAAACTCATCAGCCCATTTCAGTCCATAATTAGAGGAGTCCCAATTTGCATAAAGTATCAAACTGCCCCCCTTAACTGCTATCCTAGGTTTGACATATGAGAGAGTGAAGATTGAACCTTCACTTGCACTAATCTGTGGATCATTCTTCCCCGACTGTTTTGCTAAGGCACCCTGGAATGACACATCACCTTCACCCTTAATTTCTTGGTCCTGACTGTCAGCATCAATAACAGACTTCTCCATCATTCTTCTATAAGTAATTTTGCAATTGCCATATGAGACGGTATGTCACAACCTACACCTCCATCTAGCACAATAATACATTAATACCCACTGTTGACAACCCCCAAACTTTTTTAACTTCTGTTACTGCATCTGTGAAGACACCCGGAATGAGATCCTGGAAATTCTAGATGGGCTCGTACTTGAGAAAACGAGTAATTGCTCCTGCTTCATGTCCAAGGTTAACTAAAGATTTCTCATAGTGTTCCTCTTCGCTATAGGTGTATGAATCTTCCGTGGATGATTGCTGCTGATTAACCAACTCCTGCTGCGATTCTGTGAACTCAGTTAGAGAGTTCGAACTGGGGTTTTCGATTAGAGTCGAAGCCAGAGAACCAGAAAATTTTGGCAACTGCAATGAACCTTTGCTTTTCGAATTCCTGCAGCGACGCACAGTCCTCGATCGTCCTCGCTGGTGACATTGCCGCATCTTGGTGCGCACTTCGTCCAACCATGTCCTCGTTACCTTGCTCTTCGCACGCTTCTCCTTCTCCAGGTGTGAGCGCTTTTCCTTGTCTAGGGTTGAGTGTTTCTCTTTCTCCACTTTTCCGCGCTCAACCTTTTCTGCGAGCTTCCCAAATTTTCCGCGCGAATCCTCTCGCGAGTGCGAAACAGTTCGCGACTCCTTCTGCGACTTGGTGAACGACTGCGATGGACTCGGTTTATCAGAACGACGATGATGTTTGGTGTTGCTCGATCGCTGCAATCTACGATTTAGACGCTCACAGTCGTGCAAGATACTTTTCAACTTAGCGTTCGTCTCCTTCATACATCGATCTATATTATCAAAACTCTTTTCCATTTGCGGTGTCATGTAGAAATCCTCCATGATTCCAATTCTCCGTCTCCAGGAAGTAACGTGCTCTGATACCAATGTTAGAACTCTGCAAATTCTACAGCTAATTCACAGAAATCAACAAGAACGTAACTGCAAACTTTTATTAACAAAGCTACAATGGCCGAAGCCCCCAAATGAGCCAAAGCCCCCCAACAATATTCAGCTTACTACTATTTATAGTAAGTATGTAACTCCTACTAACCGGAAACTGTTATTAGCTAACAACAACTTTAACTAATAACTAACTCTACTTCCTTCTAGAATATACTTTGCCAAAGTATTTATTTTCTCTCCTCGGTTTAGTAGAGTCTCTAACACAAGCTTTGGTATATTTTAAATTTTTTATTGTTTCCTAGCAACTTCACAGGAAATATTCTATCAAGACAGCAGCACTGCTTCAAGATGGCATTCGTTTCACATTGTCCTACAAGCAATCAGATATCCTGGAAGTGGTAATCAGTTTGGTACAAGATCTTGAGCAAAAGCAATGCTCACATCAATATGATCCTCCATCTTTGGGAAAAACTACACCGCCCAGTCTATATTGCTTGTAACCCGACATCATCTCCACCAGCATTGCAGTTTGTTTGAATGGGCTTTTAGAGGAAAGAATGGGAGGGAAGGAAGATGCAGGAGCAAATTGAAATTCTTGGGTCAAAGGAAAATGTGGGAGGAAAGCTTCAGTAATAAAAGGAGGTGTGTGAGGTCCTTTTTGTCATCCCTCAAATGGATGGAGAGTGTGAGAAGGGAACAATAATTCCTACATTTTCCTGAAAGTATCCCCTCTTGCATGTCCGGTGAATAATCTTTTTAAGGGAAAACTGTCAATTTGGTCCTCATACTATCACAAAAACGTCAATTAAGTCCTCATTCTTTAAAACAAATCAACAAATCCCTGAATTTTGAAAAAACATTCATTTGAGTCCAAGGTTCAAAATTGCATATTGCGTAGTTGTGGCGTTTTTTTAAATATTGCATATTGCGTAAGCCTCATTGCGCAGCGAGGCGTATGCCTGAGGCGTAATATACACACACACACATAAACATAATAAAAAATAAACATATTTGTCAAACGTCCTCAAATGTTATATTAAAACAAACCATAAGAGGCCATATTCCTAGCAAAGTAATATGTTCAAACTTCAAAGTACCATAGAATACCAAAACTTTCTGAATCGTTTACAAAAAAATCTAAGTTATGAGAATTTAAATTAATTAGATTGATCGACTGAAAAAATCCCATCAATAACTAGTGGTTTGAAATAGGGATCATAACATCAATTATAATCATTTAAAAGTAGACCGGGTAGGCCCAAATAATACTCTTACACCCTGACCTTCTCCTATTGCATACGCCTCAGAGCGTCTTATTGCGTATGCAATATTGCATACGCCTCAGTGCAATATTGCGTACGCCACACTCCCAACGCCATATGCAATGCCTTTTATGCCATAGTCTAGGAATTAGTTGAGGCGCGCCATGAGGCGCAATTGCATTGCGCAATTACAAACAATGTTTGAGTCAATTAGCAGGTCACGGCCATGTCAACAGGTCACCCGCACACGTGGCAATTCACATGTGCACCACGTCATTGGAAAATGGTTGGTTGGACTTTTGCGTGTGCGCGATGTCAGCAAAGTCACTGCTAATGAGGCGTGTAACCTGCTAATGGACTTGATTGAAAGACTTAATTGACGTTTTCATGGTAGTACAAGGACCAAATTGATAGTTTTCCCTCTTTTTAATAAATAAAAGTAAAAAAACAATTGATATAAGCAGTTTTTGTTCCTTTCATTTCCATCCAATGGAAATTATCTTTCAACTATTTATTTCCTTCACTTATTCCTTCCATCCAAGCATCACCATGGAATATAGAACTTACCATGGAATAACTATTTTCACTCAACTTCTTTCCTCTCTTTTCTTTACATTCCATTTCTTTCCTTTACCAAACATAATGTACATGTTACACCATCAAATCAAAGTTACTAGTCTTACTACTGCTGCCTGCGCCTGTATTTCTCCACCAGGCACCAACCCATCTCTGCCATCAAGTTGTCTGTCATTAGCTGCATGAGTATAAACTCTGACATGGCCTGCATCACTGCAGCCGCTGCCTGCTAGTGAAACCAACCCCATGAAATATACCCTTACGCCCGGCCTCCACCTCCCAGAAATATTGATCCCAATCTAATGTAGCTATCAGAAACCCCTTGGCCTATTTTAGAATTCGTGCACCAAAGCCTTATTTACTGTATAAAACTAAATTCTAAGCTTCAGGTAAACCGTTGTGAAGACGTTATGTGTAGCAATGCATCGTACGTATAATAAATGTCGCTACTTGTAAACACAGTTTCATTGTATTCAAATGTTTCAGCTGGAAGACATGCACTAAAGCAGTAAATAGGAGTTACCTGACATACGGAAACAGCAGTTGCACGCGCACGATCTAGAGGAGACGAATATACAGAAGTGAAGTGAACGCCTTGAGATTTGAGGAAAACGGCCAATGCTCTGGATTGGCGCTTTCCATTAGGAGTGAGGGCGGCGTCAGGGCACCGACCGGCGATCAAATCAGGCCTCAGATTCATGTGGCACTCGGCATTGCTGATCAGGAAAAGCTCGGTGAGAAATCTGTCGTCGGCGGCTGAAGAGCGGTGGAAATCAGTGGGAGGGGGAGGAGGAGCTAGAACATTGAAAGGGTCCCACACTTTGATGGAGGGGCCCAGACGGGGGGTGCTAAAAGCCCTTTGAACTAGTATACAATCTATCAGCATTCTCCTTGCATTCTCACCCATGATCAAAGCCGCCTGGGGAATAGCTGAATTGAATTCATTATCAATCACCAGGAAGATGTCAACGAGTCCATCAGTAATATAACCAACCTTCTCATTCCAAATTCCAGTAATTCTTACCCCCACACCTCTTTGGACATACTTCACAGAAATTTCATCCTCAAATCTGTAGCCATCAAACTTATGCAGCCCTTCCATAACTTCACTTGCTATTACCAACCTTGAGACCTCATTCTCGCTGGCATTGCTGTTTGCAAAGGCTCTCCATTATTAACAAATGACTCAAGCATATCACCTTTACCAACCAATAGTTTTACAAGTAAGCCGCGGTTTGACCTTTTCCACAATCCTTCAGTATTGGCCACTATCAAGGTAGAAACTGAAGAAGAAAGTTTAGCAGCGTAGGTTTTCCACAGGTGTCCACCATCGATATACTCATATCCATCTCCATCATCTTCAGAGAGAGAACCTTCAATTATACCTAGTTTCTCCAGAAAAGAATTGTCAGCTTTGGTAGCCCTCGGAGCATCCTCTATTTTCTGGAATGCCTCATACCTTCCATTTACTGCCGATGAAACCCGATGCAAACTCTTATGTAAATTCTGCCAATGGACTTCACCTGAGGCATCCTTTGCACAAGGGACATAGAAGTTGACCGCATTCTTTTGTTCTTGTCCATGAGCTCCTTCTTCAGCTTGTAACATGTGTGCAGGTTCCCTTGTTAGTCCTGAGCCACAGGATTTCTTCAAAATAGTAAGATGCCCGACTAACCTCCTCTTTGGTGCCACCTGATAACTGGAGTTTGATTCAGAGATCGGATATAATCCACAATACTTAGTAGCATCAGTATCTGAGCGGATCATTCCCTGAAGCTGCTTTCCATCATTACCCTCTTCTATTTCCTCAGTTTCCTCCTTGTTCATACCCATCTCTTCTTTCCTGGCCTTCTTAGATGCTGTAGTAGATATTAAGTTGGACTGCCAAGGTATAGCAATTCCTTCAGGGACTGCATTTATCAGCTCAGCACCTTTATAGATTTCAGGAACCACTTGGTTCTCCAATTCAGAACTATTTGGGCCAGCAATCTTGTGATCAGAAGATTTATATTCCATGACTGTCCAGGACTGAGTCACCCCAGAAGATTTCTCCTCTGGTCTTTCCTCATCCTCAATAGATTTGAGTAGGAAGTATTCTTCCATCTTAACTATCCATTTGTCTACATTATCTCCATTAAACCAGGGCAATTCAATCTTACTTCCCGAGCCAATATCTCTTCTACTGCTATCCTGACCCATACTAGAGTGAGAGTGATCGTATTTACCTTCCGACGCAGCTAGACGCTCAGATTCCTTTGTTCGTTGATGTTGTGAGTTGGCCCGTTGTGAAGCTGATTGCAAGGGAGATGAAGATCTGCGAGTAGAATCAGTTTGCAATGAGCTGGGAGATGACGTTGTTGGTGACGGCGAACTGTGTGAAGCTAGAGATGAAGTTTGCGAACGGGAAGATGAAGTTCGCGATTGTAAACTGGAATGATAGGTGAGCGTCGATCTCTGCGACTGCGAACTGAGGGAGGAAGTTCGCAACTGACCCTGCGCATTTCGCGATGCACTGGAAGACTTCGTTCGCACCTGCGAACTGTTAGAAGCCGGACGATGCGATGATCGTGATCTTCCCCTTTGTTCCTTCTTCGCGGCTGTAGATGCTGAAATCGCTGCCATAGAATCCGCGATGCACTTCTGCATCTGTGCGGTCATGGAAGCTGCGAGGTTTGCCATAGCCGTCTTCATCTCCAGTTCGAACTTATCCAAGCGAGCCTCCATTTCTGGTGTCCAATCTTCTTCCATCCCTCCAGATAGTTGATGCTGTTGATCGATCGATTAGGATGCCAGGAAGGAGTGCTCTGATACCATTGATAGGAACCTGGTAATAATCTGAGCACAAACAGTAACAAGCAACACAGATCTAATCTGAAAGTAGAGAAACTGCAGTTTATTGATAGGGCAATCCGTAGGAAACTCCGGGACAGGGACAGGGACTTCTTAGGCAACAGGGACTTAGGCAACAATTCTCCAAATAACCGTCCCCTATTATGGCTACCCCAGCTTCTATTTATAGCAAAAGTCCACGCAGAGACTAAATAGACAACTAAATAAGCTATAGGCACTTTAAAAGCTATTTAACTCCCCTAACCCCTTTATTTAAAACTACTGATTAGACTGATGCCTAACAACGTATCAATTCCATCTGTACCAAGCTGGGCATGATTAATAATTATGTTCCAGTTTGAGGGGGAGTGTTAGAATATACATATTTAATAGTCAATATATTAAAAGGCAACCTATGGAACTTGTAAAATATATTTTCTTTCCTAAACGCTCCCAAGAAAATCTAAAACAAAAAAATCTGAAAAGAAAAATAATGAGTTGTTAATCATTGGGTGTCTACATCTCTAAATATGTCATATGTTTTGGCCGTTGAATTGATTGTGAACGATGCTATGAAGGTCTACAAGTTGTTAGAACTCTGCAAATTCTAAAGCTAATTCACAGAAATCAACAAGAAGTCAAGAACGTAACTGCAAACTTTTATTAACAAAGCTACAATGGCCGAAACCCCCAAATGAGCCGAAACCCCCCAAAAGAGAGAATGATCTCAATCATCCCAGAAAAGACTAAACAGTCAATACAGCCTATCCACAATATTCAGCTTACTACTATTTATAGTAAGTATGTAACTCCTACTAACCGGAAACAATTATTAGCTAACAACAACTTTAACTAATAACTAACTCTACTTCCTTCTAGAATATACTTTGCCAAAGTATTTATTTTCTCTCCTCGGTTTAGTAGAGTCTCTAACAATACTCCCTCCCTAAACATCCACCTTGCGCTCAAGGTGGGTGGTAGGAGACAGTCGAGATCTTGTGTTTCCTCTTCATCCTTGCGCCTCTTCCTTCCCAATACATAACTAGTTGCAAGAGCATGAACTTCATTGCCTGAAGAACGCACTGATGATTTGGATCTCTGTAATTGTTTTGTTCCTCATAACCAGATGGTGCTGTTTGACCTTTCCCTTCAATATCCTTCTCTGGATGTATTGGCTGCGAATTGATCACACTGCCAGTACTGATATTCATGAAAATATTATGTCCATGCCTGGTTAAACACAGAGCAAATTCTTCCCTAAATTCACATGAGGTTCCATCTTCCGGGTTCACAGTATTTTGATGAACATCCAAAGATGCCTCGCAGCTTACAAATCCCACAACCAGTTTGGCATTGACAAGCAAAAAGAGAGCTGCACATTGATACCCAGCACCACTTGGGAAAAGAAAAACTTCAATGTTGGGTCCCTTGATTAACTGTAATAGTGAATTTGGCCAGATTCTTTACCATTAGCAGCACTCAAAGAATTAGTGATGGAGTCTATTTTCATTAGATCTTCCACAATATAAACATAATGGATTCTTGATGCGTGTGTAAACAGTTTTCCAATCGGCCCATTAGAGAAGAACTTCTGAAACCTCTTTGTTTCCCTGACTGGGTTTGCATCCAACTTTATTAACCCAAGTGAGGAGAAAGAAGCCATAACTACTCTTCCCAGCAAATCTGGTTCCACTTCTATATTTCCAACATCTTCACCTATCTTGGTTTCCATTAAACGAACACTAGTGGAACATTTCACTTCTGAATCATTGGAACCTAAGACCATTTTGTAAGGTTGGAAATTTGCTTCAACTTCCACTCCATTAACAGTAGCCTGAATAGTAGGATCCAGGACCACACTGATTTTATAAAATTGGTATTCAAGAGTAAACTCATCAGCCCATTTCAGTCCATAATTAGAGGAGTCCCAATTTGCATAAAGTATCAAACTGCCCCCTTAACTGCTATCCTAGGTTTGACATATGAGAGAGTGAAGATTGAACCTTCACTTGCACTAATCTGTGGATCATTCTTCCCCAACTGTTTTGCTAAGGCACCCTGGAATGACACATCACCTTCACCCTTAATTTCTTGGTCCTGACTGTCAGCATCAATAACAGACTTCTCCATCATTCTTCTATAAGTAATTTTGCAATTGCCATATGAGACGGTATGTCACAACCTACACCTCCATCTAGCACAATAATACATTAATACCCACTGTTGACAACCCCCAAACTTTTTTAACTTCTGTTACTGCATCTGTGAAGACACCCGGAATGAGATCCTGGAAATTCTAGATGGGCTCGTACTTGAGAAAACGAGTAATTGCTCCTGCTTCATGTCCAAGGTTAACTAAAGATTTCTCATAGTGTTCCTCTTCGCTATAGGTGTATGAATCTTCCGTGGATGATTGCTGCTGATTAACCAACTCCTGCTGCGATTCTGTGAACTCAGTTAGAGAGTTCGAACTGGGGTTTTCGATTAGAGTCGAAGCCAGAGAACCAGAAAATTTTGGCAACTGCAATGAACCTTTGCTTTTCGAATTCCTGCAGCGACGCACAGTCCTCGATCGTCCTCGCTGGTGACATTGCCGCATCTTGGTGCGCACTTCGTCCAACCATGTCCTCGTTACCTTGCTCTTCGCACGCTTCTCCTTCTCCAGGTGTGAGCGCTTTTCCTTGTCTAGGGTTGAGTGTTTCTCTTTCTCCACTTTTCCGCGCTCAACCTTTTCTGCGAGCTTCCCAAATTTTCCGCGCGAATCCTCTCGCGAGTGCGAAACAGTTCGCGACTCCTTCTGCGACTTGGTGAACGACTGCGATGGACTCGGTTTATCAGAACGACGATGATGTTTGGTGTTGCTCGATCGCTGCAATCTACGATTTAGACGCTCACAGTCGTGCAAGATACTTTTCAACTTAGCGTTCGTCTCCTTCATACATCGATCTATATTATCAAAACTCTTTTCCATTTGCGGTGTCATGTAGAAATCCTCCATGATTCCAATTCTCCGTCTCCAGGAAGTAACGTGCTCTGATACCAATGTTAGAACTCTGCAAATTCTACAGCTAATTCACAGAAATCAACAAGAACGTAACTGCAAACTTTTATTAACAAAGCTACAATGGCCGAAGCCCCCAAATGAGCCAAAGCCCCCCAACAATATTCAGCTTACTACTATTTATAGTAAGTATGTAACTCCTACTAACCGGAAACTGTTATTAGCTAACAACAACTTTAACTAATAACTAACTCTACTTCCTTCTAGAATATACTTTGCCAAAGTATTTATTTTCTCTCCTCGGTTTAGTAGAGTCTCTAACACAAGCTTTGGTATATTTTAAATTTTTTATTGTTTCCTAGCAACTTCACAGGAAATATTCTATCAAGACAGCAGCACTGCTTCAAGATGGCATTCGTTTCACATTGTCCTACAAGCAATCAGATATCCTGGAAGTGGTAATCAGTTTGGTACAAGATCTTGAGCAAAAGCAATGCTCACATCAATATGATCCTCCATCTTTGGGAAAAACTACACCGCCCAGTCTATATTGCTTGTAACCCGACATCATCTCCACCAGCATTGCAGTTTGTTTGAATGGGCTTTTAGAGGAAAGAATGGGAGGGAAGGAAGATGCAGGAGCAAATTGAAATTCTTGGGTCAAAGGAAAATGTGGGAGGAAAGCTTCAGTAATAAAAGGAGGTGTGTGAGGTCCTTTTTGTCATCCCTCAAATGGATGGAGAGTGTGAGAAGGGAACAATAATTCCTACATTTTCCTGAAAGTATCCCCTCTTGCATGTCCGGTGAATAATCTTTTTAAGGGAAAACTGTCAATTTGGTCCTCATACTATCACAAAAACGTCAATTAAGTCCTCATTCTTTAAAACAAATCAACAAATCCCTGAATTTTGAAAAAACATTCATTTGAGTCCAAGGTTCAAAATTGCATATTGCGTAGTTGTGGCGTTTTTTTAAATATTGCATATTGCGTAAGCCTCATTGCGCAGCGAGGCGTATGCCTGAGGCGTAATATACACACACACACATAAACATAATAAAAAATAAACATATTTGTCAAACGTCCTCAAATGTTATATTAAAACAAACCATAAGAGGCCATATTCCTAGCAAAGTAATATGTTCAAACTTCAAAGTACCATAGAATACCAAAACTTTCTGAATCGTTTACAAAAAAATCTAAGTTATGAGAATTTAAATTAATTAGATTGATCGACTGAAAAAATCCCATCAATAACTAGTGGTTTGAAATAGGGATCATAACATCAATTATAATCATTTAAAAGTAGACCGGGTAGGCCCAAATAATACTCTTACACCCTGACCTTCTCCTATTGCATACGCCTCAGAGCGTCTTATTGCGTATGCAATATTGCATACGCCTCAGTGCAATATTGCGTACGCCACACTCCCAACGCCATATGCAATGCCTTTTATGCCATAGTCTAGGAATTAGTTGAGGCGCGCCATGAGGCGCAATTGCATTGCGCAATTACAAACAATGTTTGAGTCAATTAGCAGGTCACGGCCATGTCAACAGGTCACCCGCACACGTGGCAATTCACATGTGCACCACGTCATTGGAAAATGGTTGGTTGGACTTTTGCGTGTGCGCGATGTCAGCAAAGTCACTGCTAATGAGGCGTGTAACCTGCTAATGGACTTGATTGAAAGACTTAATTGACGTTTTCATGGTAGTACAAGGACCAAATTGATAGTTTTCCCTCTTTTTAATAAATAAAAGTAAAAAAACAATTGATATAAGCAGTTTTTGTTCCTTTCATTTCCATCCAATGGAAATTATCTTTCAACTATTTATTTCCTTCACTTATTCCTTCCATCCAAGCATCACCATGGAATATAGAACTTACCATGGAATAACTATTTTCACTCAACTTCTTTCCTCTCTTTTCTTTACATTCCATTTCTTTCCTTTACCAAACATAATGTACATGTTACACCATCAAATCAAAGTTACTAGTCTTACTACTGCTGCCTGCGCCTGTATTTCTCCACCAGGCACCAACCCATCTCTGCCATCAAGTTGTCTGTCATTAGCTGCATGAGTATAAACTCTGACATGGCCTGCATCACTGCAGCCGCTGCCTGCTAGTGAAACCAACCCCATGAAATATACCCTTACGCCCGGCCTCCACCTCCCAGAAATATTGATCCCAATCTAATGTAGCTATCAGAAACCCCTTGGCCTATTTTAGAATTCGTGCACCAAAGCCTTATTTACTGTATAAAACTAAATTCTAAGCTTCAGGTAAACCGTTGTGAAGACGTTATGTGTAGCAATGCATCGTACGTATAATAAATGTCGCTGCTTGTAAACACAGTTTCATTGTATTCAAATGTTTCAGCTGGAAGACATGCACTAAAGCAGTAAATAGGAGTTACCTGACATACGGAAACAGCAGTTGCACGCGCACGATCTAGAGGAGACGAATATACAGAAGTGAAGTGAACGCCTTGAGATTTGAGGAAAACGGCCAATGCTCTGGATTGGCGCTTTCCATTAGGAGTGAGGGCGGCGTCAGGGCACCGACCGGCGATCAAATCAGGCCTCAGATTCATGTGGCACTCGGCATTGCTGATCAGGAAAAGCTCGGTGAGAAATCTGTCGTCGGCGGCTGAAGAGCGGTGGAAATCAGTGGGAGGGGGAGGAGGAGCTAGAACATTGAAAGGGTCCCACACTTTGATGGAGGGGCCCAGACGGGGGGTGCTAAAAGCCCTTTGAACTAGTATACAATCTATCAGCATTCTCCTTACATTCTCACCCATGATCAAAGCCGCCTGGGGAATAGCTGAATTGAATTCATTATCAATCACCAGGAAGATGTCAACGAGTCCATCAGTAATATAACCAACCTTCTCATTCCAAATTCCAGTAATTCTTACCCCCACACCTCTTTGGACATACTTCACAGAAATTTCATCCTCAAATCTGTAGCCATCAAACTTATGCAGCCCTTCCATAACTTCACTTGCTATTACCAACCTTGAGACCTCATTCTCGCTGGCATTGCTGTTTGCAAAGGCTCTCCATTATTAACAAATGACTCAAGCATATCACCTTTACCAACCAATAGTTTTACAAGTAAGCCGCGGTTTGACCTTTTCCACAATCCTTCAGTATTGGCCACTATCAAGGTAGAAACTGAAGAAGAAAGTTTAGCAGCGTAGGTTTTCCACAGGTGTCCACCATCGATATACTCATATCCATCTCCATCATCTTCAGAGAGAGAACCTTCAATTATACCTAGTTTCTCCAGAAAAGAATTGTCAGCTTTGGTAGCCCTCGGAGCATCCTCTATTTTCTGGAATGCCTCATACCTTCCATTTACTGCCGATGAAACCCGATGCAAACTCTTATGTAAATTCTGCCAATGGACTTCACCTGAGGCATCCTTTGCACAAGGGACATAGAAGTTGACCGCATTCTTTTGTTCTTGTCCATGAGCTCCTTCTTCAGCTTGTAACATGTGTGCAGGTTCCCTTGTTAGTCCTGAGCCACAGGATTTCTTCAAAATAGTAAGATGCCCGACTAACCTCCTCTTTGGTGCCACCTGATAACTGGAGTTTGATTCAGAGATCGGATATAATCCACAATACTTAGTAGCATCAGTATCTGAGCGGATCATTCCCTGAAGCTGCTTTCCATCATTACCCTCTTCTATTTCCTCAGTTTCCTCCTTGTTCATACCCATCTCTTCTTTCCTGGCCTTCTTAGATGCTGTAGTAGATATTAAGTTGGACTGCCAAGGTATAGCAATTCCTTCAGGGACTGCATTTATCAGCTCAGCACCTTTATAGATTTCAGGAACCACTTGGTTCTCCAATTCAGAACTATTTGGGCCAGCAATCTTGTGATCAGAAGATTTATATTCCATGACTGTCCAGGACTGAGTCACCCCAGAAGATTTCTCCTCTGGTCTTTCCTCATCCTCAATAGATTTGAGTAGGAAGTATTCTTCCATCTTAACTATCCATTTGTCTACATTATCTCCATTAAACCAGGGCAATTCAATCTTACTTCCCGAGCCAATATCTCTTCTACTGCTATCCTGACCCATACTAGAGTGAGAGTGATCGTATTTACCTTCCGACGCAGCTAGACGCTCAGATTCCTTTGTTCGTTGATGTTGTGAGTTGGCCCGTTGTGAAGCTGATTGCAAGGGAGATGAAGATCTGCGAGTAGAATCAGTTTGCAATGAGCTGGGAGATGACGTTGTTGGTGACGGCGAACTGTGTGAAGCTAGAGATGAAGTTTGCGAACGGGAAGATGAAGTTCGCGATTGTAAACTGGAATGATAGGTGAGCGTCGATCTCTGCGACTGCGAACTGAGGGAGGAAGTTCGCAACTGACCCTGCGCATTTCGCGATGCACTGGAAGACTTCGTTCGCACCTGCGAACTGTTAGAAGCCGGACGATGCGATGATCGTGATCTTCCCCTTTGTTCCTTCTTCGCGGCTGTAGATGCTGAAATCGCTGCCATAGAATCCGCGATGCACTTCTGCATCTGTGCGGTCATGGAAGCTGCGAGGTTTGCCATAGCCGTCTTCATCTCCAGTTCGAACTTATCCAAGCGAGCCTCCATTTCTGGTGTCCAATCTTCTTCCATCCCTCCAGATAGTTGATGCTGTTGATCGATCGATTAGGATGCCAGGAAGGAGTGCTCTGATACCATTGATAGGAACCTGGTAATAATCTGAGCACAAACAGTAACAAGCAACACAGATCTAATCTGAAAGTAGAGAAACTGCAGTTTATTGATAGGGCAATCCGTAGGAAACTCCGGGACAGGGACAGGGACTTCTTAGGCAACAGGGACTTAGGCAACAATTCTCCAAATAACCGTCCCCTATTATGGCTACCCCAGCTTCTATTTATAGCAAAAGTCCACGCAGAGACTAAATAGACAACTAAATAAGCTATAGGCACTTTAAAAGCTATTTAACTCCCCTAACCCCTTTATTTAAAACTACTGATTAGACTGATGCCTAACAACGTATCAATTCCATCTGTACCAAGCTGGGCATGATTAATAATTATGTTCCAGTTTGAGGGGGAGTGTTAGAATATACATATTTAATAGTCAATATATTAAAAGGCAACCTATGGAACTTGTAAAATATATTTTCTTTCCTAAACGCTCCCAAGAAAATCTAAAACAAAAAAATCTGAAAAGAAAAATAATGAGTTGTTAATCATTGGGTGTCTACATCTCTAAATATGTCATATGTTTTGGCCGTTGAATTGATTGTGAACGATGCTATGAAGGTCTACAAGTTGTTAGAACTCTGCAAATTCTAAAGCTAATTCACAGAAATCAACAAGAAGTCAAGAACGTAACTGCAAACTTTTATTAACAAAGCTACAATGGCCGAAACCCCCAAATGAGCCGAAACCCCCCAAAAGAGAGAATGATCTCAATCATCCCAGAAAAGACTAAACAGTCAATACAGCCTATCCACAATATTCAGCTTACTACTATTTATAGTAAGTATGTAACTCCTACTAACCGGAAACAATTATTAGCTAACAACAACTTTAACTAATAACTAACTCTACTTCCTTCTAGAATATACTTTGCCAAAGTATTTATTTTCTCTCCTCGGTTTAGTAGAGTCTCTAACAATACTCCCTCCCTAAACATCCACCTTGCGCTCAAGGTGGGTGGTAGGAGACAGTCGAGATCTTGTGTTTCCTCTTCATCCTTGCGCCTCTTCCTTCCCAATACATAACTAGTTGCAAGAGCATGAACTTCATTGCCTGAAGAACGCACTGATGATTTGGATCTCTGTAATTGTTTTGTTCCTCATAACCAGATGGTGCTGTTTGACCTTTCCCTTCAATATCCTTCTCTGGATGTATTGGCTGCGAATTGATCACACTGCCAGTACTGATATTCATGAAAATATTGTGTCCATGCCTGGTTAAACACAGAGCAAATTCTTCCCTAAATTCATATGAGGTTCCATCTTCCGGGTTCACAGTATTTTGATGAACATCCAAAGATGCCTCGCAGCTTACAAATCCCACAACCAGTTTGGCATTGACAAGCAAAAAGAGAGCTGCACATTGATACCCAGCACCACTTGGGAAAAGAAAAACTTCAATGTTGGGTCCCTTGATTAACTGTAATAGTGAATTTGGCCAGATTCTTTACCATTAGCAGCACTCAAAGAATTAGTGATGGAGTCTATTTTCATTAGATCTTCCACAATATAAACATAATGGATTCTTGATGCGTGTGTAAACAGTTTTCCAATCGGCCCATTAGAGAAGAACTTCTGAAACCTCTTTGTTTCCCTGACTGGGTTTGCATCCAACTTTATTAACCCAAGTGAGGAGAAAGAAGCCATAACTACTCTTCCCAGCAAATCTGGTTCCACTTCTATATTTCCAACATCTTCACCTATCTTGGTTTCCATTAAACGAACACTAGTGGAACATTTCACTTCTGAATCATTGGAACCTAAGACCATTTTGTAAGGTTGGAAATTTGCTTCAACTTCCACTCCATTAACAGTAGCCTGAATAGTAGGATCCAGGACCACACTGATTTTATAAAATTGGTATTCAAGAGTAAACTCATCAGCCCATTTCAGTCCATAATTAGAGGAGTCCCAATTTGCATAAAGTATCAAACTGCCCCCCTTAACTGCTATCCTAGGTTTGACATATGAGAGAGTGAAGATTGAACCTTCACTTGCACTAATCTGTGGATCATTCTTCCCCAACTGTTTTGCTAAGGCACCCTGGAATGACACATCACCTTCACCCTTAATTTCTTGGTCCTGACTGTCAGCATCAATAACAGACTTCTCCATCATTCTTCTATAAGTAATTTTGCAATTGCCATATGAGACGGTATGTCACAACCTACACCTCCATCTAGCACAATAATACATTAATACCCACTGTTGACAACCCCCAAACTTTTTTAACTTCTGTTACTGCATCTGTGAAGACACCCGGAATGAGATCCTGGAAATTCTAGATGGGCTCGTACTTGAGAAAACGAGTAATTGCTCCTGCTTCATGTCCAAGGTTAACTAAAGATTTCTCATAGTGTTCCTCTTCGCTATAGGTGTATGAATCTTCCGTGGATGATTGCTGCTGATTAACCAACTCCTGCTGCGATTCTGTGAACTCAGTTAGAGAGTTCGAACTGGGGTTTTCGATTAGAGTCGAAGCCAGAGAACCAGAAAATTTTGGCAACTGCAATGAACCTTTGCTTTTCGAATTCCTGCAGCGACGCACAGTCCTCGATCGTCCTCGCTGGTGACATTGCCGCATCTTGGTGCGCACTTCGTCCAACCATGTCCTCGTTACCTTGCTCTTCGCACGCTTCTCCTTCTCCAGGTGTGAGCGCTTTTCCTTGTCTAGGGTTGAGTGTTTCTCTTTCTCCACTTTTCCGCGCTCAACCTTTTCTGCGAGCTTCCCAAATTTTCCGCGCGAATCCTCTCGCGAGTGCGAAACAGTTCGCGACTCCTTCTGCGACTTGGTGAACGACTGCGATGGACTCGGTTTATCAGAACGACGATGATGTTTGGTGTTGCTCGATCGCTGCAATCTACGATTTAGACGCTCACAGTCGTGCAAGATACTTTTCAACTTAGCGTTCGTCTCCTTCATACATCGATCTATATTATCAAAACTCTTTTCCATTTGCGGTGTCATGTAGAAATCCTCCATGATTCCAATTCTCCGTCTCCAGGAAGTAACGTGCTCTGATACCAATGTTAGAACTCTGCAAATTCTACAGCTAATTCACAGAAATCAACAAGAACGTAACTGCAAACTTTTATTAACAAAGCTACAATGGCCGAAGCCCCCAAATGAGCCAAAGCCCCCCAACAATATTCAGCTTACTACTATTTATAGTAAGTATGTAACTCCTACTAACCGGAAACTGTTATTAGCTAACAACAACTTTAACTAATAACTAACTCTACTTCCTTCTAGAATATACTTTGCCAAAGTATTTATTTTCTCTCCTCGGTTTAGTAGAGTCTCTAACACAAGCTTTGGTATATTTTAAATTTTTTATTGTTTCCTAGCAACTTCACAGGAAATATTCTATCAAGACAGCAGCACTGCTTCAAGATGGCATTCGTTTCACATTGTCCTACAAGCAATCAGATATCCTGGAAGTGGTAATCAGTTTGGTACAAGATCTTGAGCAAAAGCAATGCTCACATCAATATGATCCTCCATCTTTGGGAAAAACTACACCGCCCAGTCTATATTGCTTGTAACCCGACATCATCTCCACCAGCATTGCAGTTTGTTTGAATGGGCTTTTAGAGGAAAGAATGGGAGGGAAGGAAGATGCAGGAGCAAATTGAAATTCTTGGGTCAAAGGAAAATGTGGGAGGAAAGCTTCAGTAATAAAAGGAGGTGTGTGAGGTCCTTTTTGTCATCCCTCAAATGGATGGAGAGTGTGAGAAGGGAACAATAATTCCTACATTTTCCTGAAAGTATCCCCTCTTGCATGTCCGGTGAATAATCTTTTTAAGGGAAAACTGTCAATTTGGTCCTCATACTATCACAAAAACGTCAATTAAGTCCTCATTCTTTAAAACAAATCAACAAATCCCTGAATTTTGAAAAAACATTCATTTGAGTCCAAGGTTCAAAATTGCATATTGCGTAGTTGTGGCGTTTTTTTAAATATTGCATATTGCGTAAGCCTCATTGCGCAGCGAGGCGTATGCCTGAGGCGTAATATACACACACACACATAAACATAATAAAAAATAAACATATTTGTCAAACGTCCTCAAATGTTATATTAAAACAAACCATAAGAGGCCATATTCCTAGCAAAGTAATATGTTCAAACTTCAAAGTACCATAGAATACCAAAACTTTCTGAATCGTTTACAAAAAAATCTAAGTTATGAGAATTTAAATTAATTAGATTGATCGACTGAAAAAATCCCATCAATAACTAGTGGTTTGAAATAGGGATCATAACATCAATTATAATCATTTAAAAGTAGACCGGGTAGGCCCAAATAATACTCTTACACCCTGACCTTCTCCTATTGCATACGCCTCAGAGCGTCTTATTGCGTATGCAATATTGCATACGCCTCAGTGCAATATTGCGTACGCCACACTCCCAACGCCATATGCAATGCCTTTTATGCCATAGTCTAGGAATTAGTTGAGGCGCGCCATGAGGCGCAATTGCATTGCGCAATTACAAACAATGTTTGAGTCAATTAGCAGGTCACGGCCATGTCAACAGGTCACCCGCACACGTGGCAATTCACATGTGCACCACGTCATTGGAAAATGGTTGGTTGGACTTTTGCGTGTGCGCGATGTCAGCAAAGTCACTGCTAATGAGGCGTGTAACCTGCTAATGGACTTGATTGAAAGACTTAATTGACGTTTTCATGGTAGTACAAGGACCAAATTGATAGTTTTCCCTCTTTTTAATAAATAAAAGTAAAAAAACAATTGATATAAGCAGTTTTTGTTCCTTTCATTTCCATCCAATGGAAATTATCTTTCAACTATTTATTTCCTTCACTTATTCCTTCCATCCAAGCATCACCATGGAATATAGAACTTACCATGGAATAACTATTTTCACTCAACTTCTTTCCTCTCTTTTCTTTACATTCCATTTCTTTCCTTTACCAAACATAATGTACATGTTACACCATCAAATCAAAGTTACTAGTCTTACTACTGCTGCCTGCGCCTGTATTTCTCCACCAGGCACCAACCCATCTCTGCCATCAAGTTGTCTGTCATTAGCTGCATGAGTATAAACTCTGACATGGCCTGCATCACTGCAGCCGCTGCCTGCTAGTGAAACCAACCCCATGAAATATACCCTTACGCCCGGCCTCCACCTCCCAGAAATATTGATCCCAATCTAATGTAGCTATCAGAAACCCCTTGGCCTATTTTAGAATTCGTGCACCAAAGCCTTATTTACTGTATAAAACTAAATTCTAAGCTTCAGGTAAACCGTTGTGAAGACGTTATGTGTAGCAATGCATCGTACGTATAATAAATGTCGCTGCTTGTAAACACAGTTTCATTGTATTCAAATGTTTCAGCTGGAAGACATGCACTAAAGCAGTAAATAGGAGTTACCTGACATACGGAAACAGCAGTTGCACGCGCACGATCTAGAGGAGACGAATATACAGAAGTGAAGTGAACGCCTTGAGATTTGAGGAAAACGGCCAATGCTCTGGATTGGCGCTTTCCATTAGGGGTGAGGGCGGCGTCAGGGCACCGACCGGCGATCAAATCAGGCCTCAGATTCATGTGGCACTCGGCATTGCTGATCAGGAAAAGCTCGGTGAGAAATCTGTCGTCGGCGGCTGAAGAGCGGTGGAAATCAGTGGGAGGGGGAGGAGGAGCTAGAACATTGAAAGGGTCCCACACTTTGATGGAGGGGCCCAGACGGGGGGTGCTAAAAGCGGATGGCTGTGGGGAGAGAGGAGATGCGGAGGCATGGCAGGGCAGTATCTCCGGTTCTTGTTGGAGAACCTTCTTTGAGCCACCGACGGCTAATTCTTGCCTCTCATCCTCCGTGTTGTGGCCGCCGTTCTCATGCGCTACCTCATCTCCTCGGCCCTCTCCTTCTTCCTCATCCTCGGAGGTAACTTGCAAAGACTGTGAAGAGCCCATGTAATGGTACTTGATGTGTTTTAATTAATTAAATCTTTAATAATCGATCAGGTGCTACTCATTCAATTAAACCCCAAACAGCCTTTGCATATTAGGAAAGCATGGGCAATGCAGCGAGGATGATGGGCCGACACCTACCCAATCGACGATGCTGGACGGGTGAATCCTGTCTAACCTCATCAAAAGATAGAGTTGGATAGTCAGACACTCACACGCTGGCATGTACCCATTCCGGCCACTACTCCCGATAGTACAATATATTGGGTCCCACAAACTTTGAAAAATGAAATGAGGAGATATTAATATATACTCGGTAATTCCTATAAAAATATGTGATTGATTCAAACTTTATCAAATTTTATATGAAATCATCTTAATGTGAAGATCGAAATATAGAAAGATGGAACATTTTTAGTGGGGCGTAGGGAGTACTATATACTTCTTACATCCAATTTTATATTTATTTTTTTTGTTTGACGCAATTATTAATAAAGGAGTTGAAAATGTAAAAGTTGTATTGAGATTTGAGTAAAATAAAGTGAAATGTTATGCTTCACGTAATTTCCTTTTAAAAGAAATGTAAAACTTATTTCAGGACAATTTAAAAAAGAAAACAGGGCGGTTAAAATGGGACGGAGGGGTAATATACTCCCTCCGTCCCGTTAGAATGTTCCCGGTTTGACCTACACACATATTAAGGAAATAAACTTACCAGGGGGTAAATTTTACTGTTTTGACACTGTTTCGACACTGTTTGACACTGTTTCGACACTGTTTGACACTGTTTTGCACTGTTTGACCCTGTTTTGATGTAGGATAACTTTCCATTTAGGGAAATGGAAACTTTCCAACAGGACATCCAAAAAAGGAAAGCGGGGACATTCCAACGGGACGGAAGAAGTATATAATACGTATATGTATTCTTTTTTTCCTGCAATGCATCATATTTTCATTTTCCTTGAGTTCTTCTTTTCTATTTTTTGTCTTCAATTTTTCTCTCTTTCTCCATCAAAGTACTAAAAATGTAATTGCAAATTTGCAATTTTACTTCTTTTTCTCTTCAACTTAATGTACAAGTCAATCTATTCTTTATTCTTTAGCATTTCTTATAAAAAGCTTACTAATCTAAATAATATGAATATATTGCATTTCATATGCATACACTATTTTTATTTCGGTAATAATTTTTTATGTTCATACCTTTTTTATAATATATTTTTTATATTCATACACTTTTTTCTATAATATATTGTTTATATATTTTATATGGAGTATGCTTTTAGAGGTTTTTAAGCCATTGAGTTTGTTTATTTGGATTCATTATTACATTTTGATAATATATGGATTTACATCTTCTTATACGCGATTTACATCTTAATGTGCGTGAGTTGCACTTTCTTATTCGCTATTCATATCTTCTTGTGCGTGAGTTTAGGGCTGGGCAAATATACTGAAATTTCGGTATATCGGCCATACCGTACCGAAAAATGTCGATTTTACCGAACTTTTCGGTATACCGAAAAATTCGGTAAAGTGTGATACCATACCGGTTCACTTCGGTACAGTAACGGTATGTAGTTTTTAAATTTTTGGTATTTCGGTATATACCGAAATACCGTTAATTTTCGGTATGGTACGGTATATACCGAAATAGAATTAGTAAATTATTAGGCCCAAGTTGAAATTAGTAAATTATCAAGGCCCAATCTTAGTACTACGGCTCTTCTTCGTAGCTTTGGTGCAGGGATTACAGATCAAATCCCTAACTTCCACCGATGAGGCGACAAGTGAAGATTGAAAAACAACGTCAGAGACTCAGAAGTGTAGAACCGCAAAAGCTACAATCGTGCTGACTGGTGATTGGTGAGGGTGATGCGGACTAAGCTGTGAACGACGAAGCTGTGAACAAGAAGCCTTCGAGCTACAGCTGCGAACGAGTGAATAAGAACGGCAGACCCCAGAAGACTTCGAGCTGGTAACTAGTAAGCAAAACTTTTTTGGCAAAGCTCTTAATCGAGTCTAGCTTTTTTTTGCTGCAAAAATCTACATAAAAGTTTGGTAAGTCGTAGGGTTCCTACGAGTCTGAGTGGTTGACTAATACAAAAGATATGATACTGAACTAAAATGCAAAGTTTGACTAGGAAGAATGAAACTACAAATAGTGAGGGGGCTCTTGATTCTAAGAGACATATATGACAAAAGTTGATAGGTGTGCTTCGGTAAAGGTAATAATCCTTTCAAGCCAGTGTGAAGTCATTGGATTTGGCATATGAAGATTGACCCAATTTATGAGTTGAAGAGGGACAGATGGAAATAAACCAAAAAGCAAAACTAAAAGAAAGCACTGGTTTTCGTTTTGGATATATGGATGGATTACACTATATTGGAGAAATTTTAATTTTGTTATTATTGTGGGAAGCATTTATTGTTATATTTTCTAGAGTTGACAGTTTCAGAAGAAATGAGGAAGATTTCCTCTTCCTTACAAAAAAGAGTTGATCCTTTGTCCCCAAGTGTTACCAGAACTTGGTTAACGCCCAGTTCATGGCATTTATGTACATCTTGTTTGATTTGTTCAAAGTTTTCTGTTGGCATTTCTGCACAGCTTGTGCAGTTGTTATGGTTCTTATATTTTCTACTATATTAAATGTATTTTTCAGAATTGATTAACATGATATTTGTTATATTTTCAGGATTGCTAATGGAATCTGAATCACCTCACTCGCTGCCCAGTCCACCTGAATCACCGGCCACGCTTGAATCTGAAACAGAGAATGGTACTTCTAGCTGGAAGCGAACAAGAGAGTGTTTAATAGAAAAGCCTCATGTAGCACCTAAAACGAGGAGTATTTATTGGTACCATTGTGTCAAAGGTTCGAGGAAGTTGGTAGATGGGAGCACTCAAAGTATTGGAATATGCAATCACTGTAACGTTGAGATTCCAACCGTACAGGGAAGCACTAGTGGTTTAAAGAATCACTTAGTCAAGAGATGCAAACTAAGTCCTCTATATGAAGGAGGGAGTGACAAAAGTCAATCTGTGCTCACGAATGAGATGATGGGACGGGTAACTACATTGACTCCTCATACTTTTAATCAAAAAAGGTGTGAATTGAAACTTACCGAGTTTGTAGTTATTGATGAATTGTCATTTCGGGCGGTGGAAGGAAAGGGATTTATTAGTTTTGTGCATGAATTACACCCTAGGTTCAAAATTCCTGACCGTAAAAAGGTTGCGAGCATGGTTTATGATTTGTTCTTAGTTGAGAAAGCAAAGATAAAAAGTGTGATTAGTGGTCAAAGGGTAAGTATCACAACCGATACTTAGACGTCAATTCAGAACATAAATTACATGGTGGTCACAGCTCACTTTTTAGATAATGAGCGGAAGTTGCACAAAAGAATAATCAATTTTACAAAAATCACTAGTCATGTTGGGGAGGAAATTGGCAAGACGGTTGAGATTTGTTTGAGAGAGTGGGGGATAGACAAAGTGTTCTCTATAGTAGTCGATAATGCTTCTTCCAATGACACGGCAATTGATTATTTAAAAAAAGAATGAAAAGTGAGAACACATTGCTTTTTGAAGGCAAGTACTTGCACTTGAGGTGTGCATGTCACATCCTTAACTTAATTGTTAAGGATGGGTTGAAGGAACTTAAGTATTCGATTAAAGCTATAGAGAATGCGGTCATGTTTCTTCATTCTTCATCAGCTAGGTTGAGTAAGTTTTGGGAGTTTGTCGTGCTAGCCACACAGAGAGGTAGGATTTTTTTCAAGATTAGTTCTAACACTATTCTCTGTTGTTGAGCAGTATCCTCAAACCACATAGAGAGGTAGGTATTTATTTAAGATTATATCTTTGTTAGTGGAATAGTAGGTAATGTCTATTTTAATACCTCCAGGTATTTGATTTATATGAAGTTGGCTTGCGTCAGGCTTTCCAGACACCCAATCTTGTGAAGGAGTTAAATATGAAGGTGGCTATTCTTCAGCAGTGTTTGTGGCATGCTTGACAACATTTGTTTTGTCACGCCCCGAACCGCATCAAGGCCACGTAGACAACCGCTGTACAACCCGATAAGAACAACAAGAGTTCATCCCTATTGAATTGTACAAGGCGTCCGATTGATTCTATTGCCAAACCGATTAGTAAACACATACAATCAACATCAATATCATAATCAACAAATGCGGAAATGATAATATGTTTGATACTTAGCCACACGTGGCAAACACGGGCACGCAGGCCCCCAATTGTTTTAAGGAAAACATTGTTCGAAAATCCATGAGCAGTTTATAAATTTGAAATAAGAATGGAAGCACGAACCACGTCTTCCTCCTTGATCAATCACCCTAGGCAAAGGTGCAGGTAGTAAGACTCTAGCCTTAACCTGAAAAATGTGAGGGCCCCCCGGAGGGGTCAGTACTCCATAGAAGTACCAGTGATAAGCAGGCTATATGAAGAATAACTAATGTTTCAGACACGAGACCCAAAAATAGGGTGATATATATATATATATATATATATATATATATGTGTGTGTGTGTGTGTGTGTGTGTGTGTGTGACTCATCCACCCGATGATACATACTGTATATATATTTGTAAGATACTCAACCCGTAGGTCATTTCAATTAAAGAGATAAAGTTCTTACCTGACTTTTTTCGCTCCTTTACCGGATGCCTAGCTCACAAGCTATAGTCTACCTTCGATTCATACTATCGAGTGTTTTAGGATCATTTACCGTCCAAGACACTCAACCCAACCTGGAGTATTTAGGATCATTTACCGTCCAAGGGCACTCAACCCCACCTGGAGTATTCTGGATCATTTACCGTCCAAGGGTACTCGACCCCACCTGGAGTATTCTGGATCATTTACCGTCCAAGGGTACTCGAATCCACCTGGAGTATTCTGGATCATTTACCGTCCAAGGGTACTCGACCCCACCTGGAGTATTCTGGATCATTTATTGTCCAAGGGTACTCGATCCCCAGTCTATCCTCTACCAAATCCTAACCTGGATATGGCTAACCTTTCGTTCCCTTAACTATGGGAAATACCTAGCCCTATAGTCATATAAACATCCTTAGTAATCAACGTGGACGGGTCCCACCTGAACGACCCACGTTAACCTACTCAAAAACTGCCCGTTTTGAGTATAACCCAATACTCGATCGAGTACCCATCTATACTCGGTCGAGTACAGGAGACAATAGCCCGAAAGGCTAATTTTCAATGTATACTCGATCGAGTATCTACCCATACTCGATCGGGTATAGGAGGCAGTAGCCCTCTGGGGCAAATTTTCAGCAAATACTCGGTCAGGTACTTGTCAATACCCGGTCGGGTATGGCAGTTGACTTGGCGGTCAACGTACGTTTGACCACCCAAACAGAGTCCAATTAATGTGAAATTTTACACACATGTACTTCTTGACGTCCTTAATCCAAAAATACCATTTTGGATCCCTGGAACATCGCACATAATAATTTATCACATTTTTAATCATCAAACGTAAATAACATGCTTTTCAACTATGTTTTATATATAATCATGGAATAAGCAAATACTTGATTATCCTTGATCATTCCATAAAACATATTTTTGATTACTTTAGGTAATATCATGCCTCACGCAAAATTTATAAAGCATAAAGCCTTCTTCTCACCTTAATGAAGCTTATGAAGTTCTAGCCTTCCCGATTTAGCTCCGGTGAAACTCCGGCGAACTTCAACGAACTCCGGCGACAACTCCGGCGACCCTTCCAACTCCGTGAAAGTTCCTTGAATACCTTATACAAGTTACTAACAAGGTTTTATCATCATAAAACCCATGGTAATACGAATAACCTTCAAAAGGTTATTTTCCGGCGAACCGGTCACTTTGGCCTCTAAGTCCGTTCTTGGACTTAGAACTACCTTCCAACCCCTCATTCTACACTTCCAAACGTGTAGAACAATCCTAGGGTGTGCAATATGATTGAATAATCATATAAGATGATTGAATAACAAGAAATGGGATTAATGGAGTCATTACCTCGTTAAACACAAGTTTTCCTCTCCAAACCTCCTCCTTTCTCTTCTTTCTTCCCTTCTTTCTTCCTCTCCTTGCTTTGTGCGAAAATGGCTGGCAAGGATGGAGTATCACAGAGCTTCTCTCACCTTTCTTGAGGGATGGGCCGAGCTGATTGAAGGTGGGTGGAGGGAATCCCTCACTTTTGTCTCAATGGCACAAAATAATGTGAGGAGGGGCCCTTGGGTGATCAAGTTGGTCTCCCCATCACCTCAGCCTTAATTCATAGCTCTCATACGCCTCCCCTGCCCTCCTTGCAGAGCTAAAATCGTGGGTTGGCTCCCACTTATGTGGGAGGTCAGCCCTTTGTGTCTCGGAGTGTACAATCGGCCTCGAAAGTTGTATTTTGCGGGCTGTTTTAATTATATTTTATTTTATCGGGTCAAATAAAATATAACACTTGTCCCCAATCCTTATGGGACCTTAGAATCAATATACATTCCCCAACTTTAATTTAGAAGTCTCCGAAATCCCTTTTTGGGTTGTTATCTGATAAATTTCTGATACTAATAATTTGGCCATGTTTGACCAACCGTTCAACTCTATGCCATTGTCATGGCCCAATTAGGATATCCAACACCATATACATATTATCTAGTCCAAGATTAATATAATATGTGGTCCCGATAATATCGGGCAGCCCCACTTCCGCTGTGGGCCCCACGTGAATTTTACTATTCACGTAAAAGAAATGATAAAAATTTACAATTACGTAAAAATGCTTTTATTCATTTCTCATGGTTCAATACATTAAGTCGTGCGGTGTACACATTTCAGGTTGGTAAGTTGTCTACTGGTGATTCTCTAGATATGGCACCTGCTGATGAATCATCCATCATTAAGAATGGGGCGTCCCTTAAAGACATGGAGGTAACTAATGTAGCTATATAAGTGTATGTTTAGGCCAACGATTTTGGATTTAGGAATGATTTGCAGCATTGGAAGGGTTATTTTTAAGACCGGGGTCAGAGTTCCAAACATGAATTAGAGTGTATACATTGATCAGGATTCCTGTTAACTGTCATAAGCAAATGATTTTTACTTTTGAGTTTTACTATCACATGTCATCTTCTCTCATTAACATCTATTTAAGCTTTTGTGTATATGGCTCTCATCTGTCCTTTGGTTTAATGTTGGGAAATATATTTGTACTTGTTGTGTTTTAACACAACTGTTGGTCCTGCGTGATATAATTGTACTTGTTATCCGAGGCATCGCTTTAACAGTACATCCCTCAACTCCCTTCTGAAGATAGGCCATGTTGTACACTAATGTAGCCCTGAATGGCATTATTTGTTTTGATTGGGTCTTTTATTTAATCTTTTTTTGGTTTCCTATTCTCTTGACCGGAGTTTTCGGTTTAACATTAAACTGCAAATTGCTAAAAACCAGAGTAACGCACATCATGGATTCTGTGAGTAAGTAGGTTTGGTTGAAAAGGTTTAGTTTCATTTGTTATACATCTAATTTTTCAGGATTGTAACTGTTTGGTGGTTAGAACAGTTTTATAATCTTTGTAAATGTTGATTTGAATTCTTTGGTTTTAATTTGCAGTTCTTATTTTGTCTTTAATTAGAGTATATTTTTATCTTCATTAAAAATCATATTCCAGTGAGACTCAAGTTTCAATTGTAATAAGGATCTGTTTCCTGCTAGCTGTATTCATCTCAACAGCTGTGTTATATCACAATGGCTCTCATTAACATAATGTTGGCCCCAAAAAAGAAACATATATTGCTGAATTTAAAATAAATCTTAAACAGTTGTGTTTTATTGATTTTTTTTTCATTTGTAGGAATGGAGGAGAAATGGAGGAGTGAAGCTTTAGCCACTTATCTTTTGGAGGTGCAACAAGCGTTCAAAGATGTGTTATTACAAACATTAATTATCACTCATTTATGTTGGATAATTTTTCTAATTTTCATTATGGATGGTGTTGAGACTTGAGATATTAGAGCATCATTTTAGTATTTTCTACTTCGGATTAAATATTGTGTTTTACTTTTGGTATAAGTTTATGTAATTGATGTCGTTTGCAAGTTTTGATATATCCAAAATCAGTTTTTTTGAATGTTCGGTAGGACCCTTATGTCGATGCTTTATACAGAATTGTCATGGAAGTTTAGTGTTGTAAATTTTCGGTATAAAACGGTATGAGTCACATACCGTACCAAATTTTCGGTATACCGAAACATTCGGTATGGTAACGGTATGATATTTTCAAATACCAGCATTTCGGTACGGTATGCGGTATAGCGTAGAAATTTCGGTATGTCATACCGAACCAGCCCTACGTGAGTTACATCTTCTTATGCGCGATTTACATCGTCATGTACGCGGGTTACATTTTTTATGTGCGAGTTACATTGGACGTGTCTCAACAAGTCACATTTTGCATACACGTGAGTTACATTTTCCATCAACGCGAGTTACTCGTCATAACATGAGTTACATCACAAGATAAACACTTGTTATTGAAACAAAAAAATGATTTTTAAATCGTTTTTGTAGCCCTGATATTAAGAACAAAATATATTCACTATTTACGTAAAGGTAATTAAGCAATTAAACTCTTTTTTCATTATTTACATTAAAATTGAAGTTTTCTCTTATATATCCTACTAGTTTAATAACGCGCGTTGCGCGTTCGTAGTAATGTCCAATGTCAATGTAGGGACACACAATATCTTAGTTAAAGTTTAATGAAAATATGACTAATATGAGTAAAATGGTTGAATACATAATTTGTTATTTATGGATAAAGAATCATAAACAGTAAAGCATTTATAGGATAGAATATATGTGGGAAAATAAAATAGACAACATGATTATAATAAACAGAATAGTAGTGAGATTCACATGAAACAGTAGTATGTATTTGTGTTTTATATCAAAACAAACATAATAAACACAAAAATGTTTTAATCAAAGAAGTAGTCAAATATGTATTGGGCTGTAGCGTTTGAAAGAAAATTAAAACAATAGTTCTAGTATTACTTTTGCAAGATAAGTAAAGAAGTGGGAAAAATATAGAAGAAGGAAAAATCAGTTTTTTTGTATGTATTTCATTGCTCCGTACTTCTGTTTATATAGCCGCATGGCTTTTTACATTCAACCTACGGCTCACCCTAAACCAAACTAAGAAAGAAGTCTAAAAGGAATAAACTTCCTAAAATACAATGATTTAGAGAGAAAGTAAATAATCCAAATAAGTAAATAAATAAATTAACTCCTAATACCCCCCCTCAAGTTGGCGCATGGGGATCCAGAATGCCCAACTTGCTCAATAGTGTCTCAAAATGAGTTTTACCAAGTGCTTTGGTAAAGATATCGGCTAATTGGACAGTAGTGGGAACATAACTGGGAGCAATTAGGTTGTCACGAATAGCATCACGAATGAAGTGGCAGTCAACTTCGATGTGCTTAGTGCGTTCATGGAAAACAGGATTATTAGCAATATGCATTGCAGATTGACTATCACAGTAGAGATGAATGGCCTGTGGATGTTGAACACCGAGACTCAAAAGAAGAGATTTTAGCCACTTAAGTTCACAGGTTGCAGCTGCCATAGAGCGGTATTCGGCCTCCGCAGAAGATCGGGCCACAGTAGTCTGTTTTTTAGATTTCCACGAGATAGGGGAATGACCCAGAAAAACCAGCCACCCAGATATAGACCTCCGCGTAAGTGGGCAAGCCGCCCAGTCTGAATCACACCAACCGGTAAGAGAAAGATTATTGTCAGCTCGAAGTAAGATGCCTTGACCAGGGGAGCCCTTTAAGTAGCGAACAACACGCAGAGCTGCTGTCCAATGCTCAGCCCGAGGTTGTTGCATGAATTGAGACAGGATGTGAACCGAGTATGTAAGATCAGGACGAGTAACAGCTAAATAAATGAGCCGACCAATAAGACGTCTATACTGCTCAGGATCCGGATGATACGAACCAGAAGCATTATCGAGAGCATGATTCTGCTCTATAGGAAAAGTAGCCGGCTTGGCGCCCAGAAGACCAGTTTCAGATATAATATCAAGTGCATATTTGCGCTGATTAAGAAAAATACCAGACGAGCTGCGTGCTACCTCAATGCCAAGAAAATATTTAAGAGCACCCAAATCTTTCATATGAAAGCACATATTAAGGTATTGTTTAAAATTAGCAATAGCATCAGCATCATTTCCAGAAATTAAAAGATCATCCACGTAAACTAACACATTAAGTTGGAGTTTGCCACGCGTTAGGGTAAATAAAGAATAATCAGCACAAGACTGGAGAAAACCATAGCCTTTGAGGGCAGCTACTAATTTGGCGAACCAACATCGTGGAGCTTGCTTAAGTCCGTAGAGGGATTTATGAAGACGGCACACCAAAGATTGATCTGCGGTGGTATAGCCGGGAGGGATCTTCATATACACTTCTTCTTGGAGGTCACCATGCAAGAATGCATTATGGACATCCATTTGATGCAATTCCCAATTTTTACAGGCGGCAAGTGCAAGGAATGCCCGTACTGTTACCATTTTGGCAACAGGAGCAAATGTCTCTGTATAATCCAGTCCAGCAACTTGTCGGTTCCCAAAAATGACCAATCGTGCCTTAAGGCGCTCAACGGTGCCATCAGATTTATGTTTAACTTTATAAACCCATCGACACCCTAATGCACGTTTCCCAGGAGGCAACGACACAAGACTCCAAGTGGTATTTTTTTCAAGAGCCTGAATTTCGGAACGCATGGCTTGGCGCCATCCATCATGCTTCACCGCATCATTAAAAGAAGTTGGTTCGGTAACCGAATCAAGTGCTGCCAAGTAAGTCAAATGTTTTGTAGAGAATTTTTCACAAGTAACGTAATGAGTTATAGGGAACGGCGTACCTGAGGAGGATGATGGAACGAGAGAAGCGGGGAATGGACTGTTTTGCACAATAGTATGAGTGATATAGTCTCGAAGACGAACAGAGGGCATCCGTGGGCGGTGTCCCCGCCGCATAGTTTCGGGCTGGTCATGAGATACCTGGGAATCTCCATGTTCCTCTTGGAAGATGTGTGAGTCCGCAGCAGAAGAGGTAACAACCGGAACATGCTGTGGAACAACTTCATCAGGCACTACTGGATATCCATGAGTATCCATGTGATCATAATGCTGGAGCAAGATTTCTGATGATGGATCCGTTTTATCCAAGGGCTCGAGAGGTTGAGCAAAAGGAAAAATATTCTCGAAAAATTTTACATCACGAGACACAAAATATTCTCCGTTCTCGATGTCATAGACAGTCCAACCTTTCTTGCCAAAGGGATAACCCAAAAAAATACACTTTCGGCTCCGATTAGCAAATTTATCTCCTTTTGATTTCAAATTGAACGCGTAGCACAGACAACCAAATACCCGAAGAAATTTATAGAAAGGTGGCACACCAAACAAAATCTCATAAGGAGTTTTATACTCCAGAATAACTGAGGGGGTGCGGTTAATAAGGTGTGACGCCGCTAGAACACATTCTCCCCAAAAAGAAATTGGCAAGTGCCCTTGAAATCTCAGGGCACGTGCCACATTTAAAATATGCTTGTGTTTGCGTTCAACACGCCCGTTTTGTTGAGGCGTGCTAACACAAGACGTCTGAAAAATTATACCACTGCTTCTGAAAAAATCCTTCAGGCAATTAAATTCAGTGCCATTGTCACTTCGCACAGTAATGATTTTCTTAGAAAATTGGCGATCAACCATAGCAACGAAAGAAAGAAACATTTTTAACACCTCCTTTTTGTCAACTAATAAATAAACCCATACTGCACGGGAGTAATCATCCACAATAGTCAAGAAGTGTCGAGCACCACACGAAGAAGGGGTATGATAAGGACCCCACAAATCACAATGTACTAATTCAAAAATAGCATGAGTTTTATTTAAACTAATAGGAAACGAATCTCGTGTTTGCTTTGCCCTAAAACAAATATCACAAGGTAAACTGCCAGCACCCTTCAGACCACTTACAGGAACCAAGTGTTCAATAACTTTTGAAGAAGGATGCCCCAATCGTTGATGCCATAAATTAACTTCAGATTCCTTTGAGTCCCTAACTGCCAAGATCCTCGCTGAGGGTTCCTCCCGAAGATAGTACAGTCCATTCCGCCGCTCACCCATTCCAATCAGCCTCTTCGAGTGACGGTCCTGTATAACGCATAAGTTACTAGCAAATTGAACAAAACAATTTAATTGATCACTTAATTGAGATACCGAGATAAGATTGCATTTTAATGCAGGGACATATAGAACATTATTCAAATAAAGATCTTCAAACAGTTCTACTCGGCCTTCCTGCGTAGCTTCAACTGTCTGCCCATTCGGCAGACCAACTAAGCAAGGCTCAACTGATTTAATTTGAGAAAAAATGGCCAAATTTCCGCAAACATGGTTTGTTGCCCCTGTATCAATAATCCATGCATTATGATCAAATTTACCTGCCACGCGATCAGTAGAGACTGTAGGGTTACCGTAAACGGTCAACAAGGATTTCCATTGCTCAGGCGTGAAGCCAGGCAGTGAGATCAATTGGTTGCTGCTTCCCTCACCAATTGGCGGAGCTTTGTTCTCGGCTGCTAAATCAGCCACCGCTGCATGTGCTTTCACATGAGCTTTTCCACGCCCCGTTCCAGGTCTTGAAGACTTGCCGCGTCCTCCTCCCTTGATACCCGGTTTTGGTCTGTCTCCCCACCAGTCCGGGTAACCATTAAGTTCAAAACAATTAGCAATTTCATGATCGGAGTATTTGCAATATGCGCAAATTAACCCGGATTTGTCTGTCTTTCCTCCTTGTCCAAATCCCTTGCCATCTGTCCGCAAGGCAAAACCCATAACATCAGGTCTTTCTTCTTGTGTCTGAACAAAGCCACGTACTCGTTCTTCTTGCATAGTTTGTTGATAGGCACGGTTCAAACTAGGCAGGGGTGTTTGAGTCCAGAGCTGCGAGCGGGTAGGGCCAAAGAAATCGGTGTACAATCCCATCAAAAATTGATGAAATCGTTCCGATTCTCTTCGTTTTTCATGTTGTCCCATTACATCACATGTACACTTCCCACATGTACACGCAATAAGCGGTTCGTAATTATTCAAGTCATCCCATAGGC